TTTGTCAGCTTTCTTATCATATAAATCTTGAGCAGTGAATTTAACATTGTTTTCATCCTCCATGACATAGACATTTCTACATCTAGTGTATTTCATCGTCGTTATGTCTTCATCCGATGTTAAACCTTGTGGAAAGTTAGGAGGTTTCCAATTTAATACATCCCCACCAGTTCCATCAGGTTCTTCAACCGTTCCTGCAATATTTTCTATACCAACAGTTGCGAAGAAATCGTGTGTATGTCCAACGTCACTTTTCTTGTTTAAGGTTTCTTGTAAGTTTGTAATATTTGCAATGGTATGTGTATGAGTCTTTTTAGAATATTCGTTTTCAGCTCTTGTCACTTCACTTGACATTTTATTGTCAACATATGTTTTGTCTGCTAGTTCAGGATGAGTATGTTCTTTCGTTGCATATGTTGCATCTGCTCTGTCATGTTCTTCTTGAACTTTTTCAATGACATACTCTTTGTCAGCTTTGTTGTCAACATCTGCTTTCAAAAGAAGTTCTTTTATAGGTTTCTCGTTTAAAGTTCCTTTTGTTGGATTTATACAAACAGTATGGTTCTTACTGTCTTGAAACAGAAACTCGTCTGTCAATGGGTTTATCGTCAGTTTTAAGTTTCCTTCTTTCAATGACTCAGATATCTTAGAATAGTTTGAAAAGTTTGTTGTGTTCTTATTTAGAGCTTGCACAATGAGTTGTCGGTTGTGTTGTATTTCTCTCATAGACGCTGTTTCATTTGACATTTTTATTCTAGATAAAATATGCTTTCAATAGAAAAAGAAAATTCAAGAGTTGCTACAACTAAACCATTAGATGAACTTTTTACGAATGTCGGTCAAAAGTTTGAGACAGAGACCGTAAAGCATGAAGGCTATCGTTTTGACTACCCATTGAGATGGTTAAGAGACCCATCCGTCACAAAAGCTGTTGGCTTTCGTAGAATGAAGTTCATTTCAGAAGCCATACATGGGTTCCCATTTACGGTCGCTTTTGAAGTTCGATACTATAACAAAGAAAAACGTACGTATGAGAAATTTGAACAGGGAAAACTTTTACAAGTGAATTTGCTTGTAAACTTAGAAACAACTCTTCAAGCTTTTCAAGAAAAAATAAACGATATCTATCTCGAATATGCAAAACAGTACAACATTGACGAAGGAGAGTACCATCTCGATATTATATATGACAGGAAAAATGCAACTGTTAAATTCAATAGAATAGAAGACCTTGGAGAAGACGTTTATATTTCTACAAAATATAACAACTTGGCATGGTATAGATTTTTGAGGATGTTAAATCAGCCTGCAGAATATCCAGTACACCCGAACTTTTATGAAGTCGAAAACCCTAATGGAACATATGAAAATGTTTTCGACTCAGATGCTATTATAGTTCATGCTTCATTTTCTGGTGCGCAAAACTCTTTTTATGCTTGGCAAATGACTTTTACGAAAAACCTACAAAGCTATATGAACCACCGAGTGGAAGTATTTCAGACTTTCAAGTATGGTTTACTACAGATGGAAGAAAGAGAATAATTCCATTATACCACGCGTTTTACTTAGAACTTAGTTTCATATACAACTACTATCGAACGGTAAAAATATGATTTTTTAATACGGTTGAGGTGTTGGATTTGGTTGCCAACTAGACTGTGGTGCAGGTTCAGGCTGTTGTATAACAGGAGCTTGCTCTTCTGGTTCAGGGTCTTTAGGTATAATACCAACGAACTGACCTACTCTTTTGCCAATATTTTTGACTCCGTTCCAAATTCCTCTTCCGACGGTTTTTATTCCATTCCATATACCTCTTCCAACATTTCGAAAGAAGTTTCCTATTCTTCCAAAGAAACCCATTTTACTATATGTAAAAATCTAATGTCCACCTAGTCTCTTACGTTTCCTTCTGAGTTCCATAGCATTCTTTAACTGGAGCTCATACATTCTATTTCTCCTCTGGTAGAAAACATACTCTGGGTCAACTCCTGTGTTCGCGTCATCTGCATAAAGTTGTTTATATCCCACTTCAGGGTTTGTATAAAACTCTTTCCATCTCATATTTGCATACCATGGTGGCAAACCTAACGCAGCGTCATTTGACATGGCAGTTTGCATTTGTACATCTGTTGGCACTTGACCATAGTTTGCCATTGCAGTTTGTATTCTAACTTCATTTGGAATATTCTCTGGGTTTGGTTGTCCAGGTTGCTGTGCATTCGCTAAGTTCTGTGCGTCCATTTAATATTAGATAAAAATATCTCTTACGAGTACATATGCTGAACATTTGCAGGCATTGGTTCATCTTCATATTCTCTATATCTTTCTGCCACGTCAAATAAGTAAATGACACAATGGAAAAAACCTAAAACAAGTAGTCCTATTTCAAACCACATTTACTTACTAGTAAAATTTCTTTGTTATGACACTTTCTCCAGTTTATAGGACCTCTCTCATATTCTATCTTATCGTATCTAAACTCATAGTCATGTATGTCCTCTAACCATCTCATGACACTTTCCAAACCACTTTTATCGGATGTAAAGTAAAAGCATGGATGGTTATGTAAAACGTCTAAAGTTTCTAAAGAGTCTCTCAAAGTCCAGTCTACTTGGTATTGAAAATCCCATGTGTTATAGAACGGCGGGTCCACTATAAAGAAAACATTTTCCTTGTCTTTATATTTTTCATACAACTCTGTCCAATGACATCTCACAAACTCTATACCCTCAATATATTTTTCTATGTTCTCTTTGAAAACATTTGTATAGTTAAGATATAAAACTTTTGACATAAGTGTTTCAATGTCATGAACTCTTATAGCACCACTATATAATAGTCTAGCAGATATACTATCCCAGTCAATATACTCTGCCTTTTTCAAAACCTCTCTGACAGTATTTTTCTTATCTAATGGTATACGTTCCATCTTACCTATAGGTATCTTTTCTTTTAACTCTTTCAATATTTTGTTTGTGTCTGGTATATGTTTGAGACGGTTCATATAGTTGTCGAAGTCATTGCATATAATCTTTGAGTCAGGAAATACAGTATGGCACAAATGGGATATATAGAAACTTCCACCGAACAAATCTACAAATGTTAGACCATTCGGTAGTTTCTTAAGTTCTCTCAATAGAATATCTTTACATCTACTCTTATTTCCAAAGAAGGGTAACGGTGGTTTTGTAAAATTCATTTTATATATATAATAAAAATGTTTTTTCCTGAAAAGTGACAAAATTTCTTAGGGGCTAGAGGGCACGAAGTGCCTGGAAGCCCCACTGCCTTTTTTTTTTTTTTTTTTTTTTTTGAATATATTTTTTAGATTGGAAGATAGGGGTATTATTATTGTCGTCTGGCGGTTTTAGACGACAATGTGAATATTCGAATTATAGAATTTTTAATAATATAAAGAGCTACTCCATGGAATTGATGTTCTTCCTTTATTTAGGTACCAAAATATACTTGTAAAATAATTTTGTCACTTTTCCTGCGACAATAAAACATCCTCTGGAAGATAAGTATATTAAGCATGAGTATTAATATGCAAATTTATATTTTAAGAGACATAGTTGGATTATTATTAATATTAAATTTGTACCCAGATTTGCTTTACTTTTACCACTCCCCATGTAATTTCTGGGGAAAACGATAATTCATTTTTTTTATGGATGAATAGATCGTTTTCCTAGAAAGGACCTCATATCTCTGGCTAAAAAGAGTGTCAGATCCTAAATAGATTATTGATCTAGTGTACAAATCCAATAAAAAGCCTATTTTTTTGGCTTTTTTGGTGCTCATTTTTTCGAAGATCTACATGAATATGGGGAAACCATCGGATTTTTTTGGTTAACCCACATCTTCATGTAGTCTGGACTATCTTTCCTCGAAGGACCTCTTTACGGGTGTAAAAACTCATAAAGTTCTCAAAAGATTCATTCTCGATCTCCATGCTGAAAGAATTTACAATAAAAAAGAGATCTACGCATCAAACTACAGCCATAAATGAACTGAACCCCTAAAGCTCAGCTCTTAGTTTATCAAAAACGTCGAAATCCTTCTCATTGCAATCAAAATTTCTCAATAACTCATAAGAAAAATCGAATTTTGATTAAGCCGATGTTATAGGTATCACAAATACTACAAACTTGAGCAATATCGAAATTGCCAGCAAAAGTTTGAAATTGCATTGCTCATATTTGTTTTGTAAACTAAAAATCTGCTTATATTATTCATTAATTTTTTATATATTATTCATATACTTTAATAAAAACAATACTATTTCACCTTAAAAATGAATTTCATAAGTCAATATTATTTTTTGAAAATGTATCAATTTTCGATTAAAACAACATGAGAATAAAATTTACGCAAAATTATTTTCAAAAATGGTTTTAAAAATTTACAATTGATTAAGAATAAGATTGCAAGAAGTTTTGAAGTTTAATTTTAAGAAAAAAAATTCGGATATTATTCATGGATCTAAGTAATCTGATATTTGAGTATCGGCACTATGCATAAAACATATATTTATAGTTTTTTTGGAGTTTTATGATTTTAAATATATTCAAATTTGGCAATCCAATAGATTTTTAAAAAATAGGTAAATAAAAATAGATTACATATGCAGCAGATTTAGAACATGAAACAAATCTTATAGTGACCCAAAAAAAAATTCATGATCCAAAAAAGAAAAAAATTGGCTAAATGGGAATAAAACGTTGGCATAATGAATCATTATGTCGGATGTTTCCACTACACCGGCAGTTCGAAAAATACCCTTGGTGGTTCTATTTAATAGCTACTCCCAACGATAGGCGGTGTCCCCAGCTTTCGAGAGGTGGTAAAAGTAAAGCAAATCTGGGTAAATAAATTATTTAAGTTTGACAAAAGCTGGACAATGTTGAATATTAAATAATGAGTTCCTTTCAATATTGTCCAATTAAAGATATGAAGTTTAATATTGTTGCATTTTTTAAAAAAACTATCTAATTAGATTATATTGCTCCAATAGATCTTAGATATATTCTTACCTTACCCCATGATTCTGAGAGTGCAGTTTTTCCTTTATTATTCTTTGCATATCTATTGGCTCCAACTGAGATAAGATATTTAACAACTTCAAGACGACCTTCTTTTGATGCATGAATAAGTGGAGTTTTTCCATATTTATCCTTTGCTTCTTTATCAGCTCCAACTGAGATAAGATATTTAACAATTTCAAGATGACCTTCTTTTGATGCATGAATAAGTGGAGTTTTTCCATATTTATCCTTTGCTTCTTTATCAGCTCCAACTGAGATAAGATATTTAACAATTTCAAGATGACCTTCTTTTGATGCATGAATAAGTGGAGTTTTTCCATATTTATCCTTTGCTTCTTTATCAGCTCCAACTGAGATAAGATATTTAACAATTTCAAGATGACCTTCTTTTGATGCATGAATAAGTGGAGTTTTTCCATATTTATCCTTTGCTTCTTTATCAGCTCCAACTGAGATAAGATATTTAACAATTTCAAGACGACCTTCTTTTGATGCATGAATAAGTGGAGTTTTTCCATATTTATCCTTTGCTTTTTTATCAGCTCCAACTGAAATAAGATATTTAACAGCTTCAAGATCACTATAATATGATGCATAAATGAGTGGAGTAGATCCATCTTTATCCTTTGCTTCTTTATCAGCTCCAACTGAGATAAGATATTGAGCAACTTCAAGATGACCTTCTTTTGATGCATGAATAAGTGGAGTTTTTCCATATTTATCCTTTGCTTCTTTATCAGCTCCAACTGAGATAAGATATTTAACAACTTCAAGATGACCTTCTTTTGATGCATGAATAAGTGGAGTTTTTCCATATTTATCCTTTGCTTCTTTATCAGCTCCAACTGAGATAAGATATTTAACAATTTCAAGATGACCTTCTTTTGATGCATGAATAAGTGGAGTTTTTCCATATTTATCCTTTGCTTCTTTATCAGCTCCAACTGAGATAAGATATTTAACAATTTCAAGATGACCTTCTTTTGATGCATGAATAAGTGGAGTTTTTCCATATTTATCCTTTGCTTTTTTATCAGCTCCAACTGAAATAGGATATTTAACAGCTTCAAGATCACTATAATATGATGCATAAATGAGTGGAGTAGATCCATCTTTATCCTTTGCTTCTTTATCAGCTCCAACTGAGATAAGATATTGAGCAACTTCAAGATGACCTTTAGATGTTGCATGAATAAGTGAAGTTTTTCCATCTTTATCCTTTACTTCTTTATCAGCTCCAACTGAGATAAGATATTGAACAACTTCAAGACGACCATTAGATGATGCATAAATGAGTGGAGTATATTCATATTTATCCTTTGCTTCTTTATCAGCTCCAACTGAGATAAGATATTTAACAATTTCAAGATGATCTTTTTCTGATGCAGAAATGAGTGGAGTCCATCCACATATATTCAATGGTTCGATAAAGCAGCCACATTCGATGAATGATTTGACAAGATTAAGATTTCCTGTTTCACATGCTCCATGAAGAAAATTATCCCTCGACCAATTTCTTCTTTCACAAAGTCCTTCCTCACAAGCTTTTAGCATCATTTCATGATTTCCTTTTGCAGAAAGTTCATCAAGGAATTTGTAAATGCTTCCCAAATCATCAGATTTTTTAAGTTCGGCGATTTGGATTAAAATATCTTTAGAAAGGTTTGAATTTTCATTAGTTCGAGTGTCTGTAGCTGCTTTGTCTGAATTTTGTATTTGATTTTGTAACGAATTTAATTTTGTTTGACGCTTTTTGATTTTTTTTGTAGATCCACGAGAATCTTTGCCAGTTTGATTTAAGATATCAATGATACCATCAAATGTATCGAATTTCATGTATTTTTTGACAGTTTGAAGAATGCAAACGGCGTCATCGAGATTTTGAATAATAACATTGGCTTTTCGTGCACAGATATATAATTCTTTGAAACACATAGTTGACGAAGACTGTTTCAGAAGAGTAGCGTACTCATCAACTGTCAAATGTGAATATTTCATGATTGTTTTTATATCCTCTCTATCGAATGTATCAAAGAAGTTTTCATTGTTAAGATAATCACTGATATGAGAAGCAATGTATTCGTAATTCAGATTCATGGTCTGAGATTTAAGATATATGTAAACATCAGATGTTATGTTTTGCCAATATTATGTTTTGAAATTGAGTCGAAGTCTCAATTTCATTACTAAAGTTGGTATTATTTCTTTGGTTTTGAGTGGCCGTACACTACATTTGAAGGAACGTTATTTTTTTTTGTTTATTCGCAATTTTTTAGGTAAAAAATTTACAATTGTAGTCGTATTTTTTTAAAAAAAACTAGCAATTGCTACTACACTCATTTTATACACAATTCATTTTTTTCCACCATTCAATTTTTTCCACTATTCAATTTTTTTTCCACAATTCAATTTTTTTTTACAATTTGAAAAATCCAGGATATAATTCGAAGTGATATTGGGTAAAAATAATTAAGGCAATATCAAATAACGTAGATTTGAAATGCTATGACATAGTTTGAAACGATATTATCATTATTTTATTAAGATGGAGCTGAAATAAATCAATATTTTTCATTTGTTAAATGCATAATGCTATATTTTAAAAAATTCAATAGCCTATTTTCGATTAGAATATTTTTGAAATTTTTATTTTATCGATAAAATTTAGAAATTGAGAAATACAATAGCATCGAATTTTCAAATTTAAGGTCTCAGTAGGCTCCAGTTTTAAGGAAACGGATACTTTCAAATTTAAGATAAAAACATAATGAACAACGTGATATAGAATTATACAGGAGATGTAAGAATCATTCATTAGATATATTTTTTCAATCATTATACAGGAATTAATTCTAATGGAATACATGAGATGTAAGAATCATGTAAACTTCAGAAATTCTAACGAGAAATTTATAATATAAAGAAAATGACAGAAACAGCTAGTGATGTTCAGAATCCTCAAGAGAATGCTAATAATGAACAGCCACAAGGCGAAGTGAAAGAAGCAATTCTTAATATTGCCGAAAATTTAACTCCCAATCAAGATAACTCAGAAAGCGAAAACAAGAGCGCAACAAATGATCAAAACCCATCTAAAGAGCAACATGCTGGTGAAATGCATGAAGCTGCTGAAAATCTTGCAGATAAATTATTACCTAAACCAGAAAACAATGAAACTGAGAATCCACCAGAAAATACTAACACAGATAAGCTATCTGAAGAAAACAATACATTAGCGGAAAATATTACTAATAAATTACTACCAAAATCTGAAAATAATGAAACCGAACAGCCAAAGGAGAATTCAGAGGAAAATAAACCGTCAGAAGAAATCCATGAAGCTACTGATAGTATTGCCGATAAATTACTTCCAAAATCAGAAAATAACGAAACAGAAAATCCAACAGAAGAAGCAAACCAAGATAAACCATCAGAAGATATTCATGAAGCTGCCGAAAATTTAACAGAAAAATTACTTAGTAGCCCAGAAAAGAAAGATGAAAGTGAAAATGCAGATTCAAAAGAAACCAGTTTATCAATGAATAAAGAAATCCAAGAAACAATTGATAAATTACAGTCAAATGAAAACGAAAACGAAGAAAAACCAGAAAATTCCGAAAATATACCGGAAAACGGTGAAGAAGAGCAAAAAGAGAATCCAAACGATGTACCAATAGTTGAAACAGACAAACCATTATCAATCTTTACGGAACATCCTGTTTTCGAAACAGAAACAAATTCAGATTCTCCAAGGGAGCCACCACGGAATTCAAGTGCTTCAACAAGTCCAAGAAATAAAAATACTACACCAAGATCTCCAAGGCCAAAGCCAAAATACGTTCCTGCACCAAGATACGTTCCCGATCCAAACTTTGACGAGAAGACCCTGGACAAATACGCTCTTGAAGCTGCCAAGCAAAAGGCTCCTCCTCTTGAAGCAACTCAGCCAACTTTGAAATATGCAGCTCATAGAGTCGAAGAATGCGTTAACGCACAGGATTATGACAAAGCAACCATTTATGAGTCATCCATTGATTATCTGCATACAATTTGCGATAGAACTGCTTATGAAGAAGCAATTGAACGAGAAAAGCAGGAAAACAAGGAAAGACTTGAAAAAGCGAAATCTACAGTTGACGAACTTATCAAGAAGTGGGATGAAGAGATGAAAAAACAAGCTGAGAACCATAATAAATTATTAGAAGCATTAAAACAGAGAAATCAACAAGAACTTGATGAATTCGAACAAAAATGGCAAAACGAAGAATTCTTGGCCCAATACAATAAGCCATCTGCAAGATTACTTTCAATGAGATCAATTGAACAAACATTTGCAGCGGCGAAACTCTTTGATAGAGCCAAAGAAGCCAAGAAACAAGCCGATGAACTCCAAAAGGTTGAAACAGAGGAACAAAGAAGAAGAGCCATGGAAGACATGAAAGTTCAATACGACACGATCATAGCAAAGCAAGAAAACGCTCTTGATTGTTTCTCACAATGGAGTGAACGTGAGAAAACAAATATGGAACTAAAGCGAGAAAAAGAGCTTTATGGCTGGAGAATGCTGATTAAGAGAATGGAAGGTCCTGCCGGCCAGAATGCAAAGATTAAACCTTTCCAGGAGACACAAGTTCTTGGTTCAAGGCCTCTGAAGAAGTCACAAACAAAGAATGCCCCTGCTTTTTCAATTGGCACATTAACATTGAAAAATATTATCAAATCACCAAAAGTTTCATCGCCAAGGAAGAAATAATCGTCTTTCTTGTGGAATCAAATCAATGTTTCTATTTGAATATTTTATTATTTGTTTAATTGTTAATTAAATTCTTCAATTTAACGAGTTTAAATGGGAAAATGCTTCTATATTTATATGATATACTGCATATTCATTATTTGAGAAATAATTATTAAGAAATTCATATTTATTTTTATTTCTAGATCAAATGAGGACATTAACCAGTGTAAATAAATAGAATAGAGCAGATATAACTGAAACTATTCTAAGGGAATCATAAGATTAATTTTCATAACAAAATATTTCTCAAATTCAGTTATTTTGAAAGATAAATTTGTTTTTCGAATATTTTCTTAATTGATCAGTCTAGAAGCGTATATATTTTCATTGACTTTTTTCGAAAAATGAAGTTTTTATTGGGCGGTGAAGCAAACAGAGCTTTTCAAAATAATTCTAAATGTTTCCTTTGTTTTGCTTTGCTTCACTGGCTAGTGCAGCCCACAAGACACTTGTCCTTCTTGGAGAAGATACAGATGATCTCCAATTCAAGACATTCTTTGAAGATTTAAAGAAATATTCATCTGTTGTTGATACAAGAATTTTATCTGATGATAAGACAGACCGTATCATCTTAGAACGTTTTGGCTCACGTCTTTATGATACAATCGTTATTATTGGCTCCAAGAGAGATGCTTTTGGCAAAGATTCCGAAATTCTTACACATTTCCTTGATAACGGCGGTAATGCTATTGTCTTCGGTACAGGCGCAATCAACTCAGTCCAGGAGTTTATTGCTCGCCACCTAGGTGTTCATATCGAGAAAAAGCCAGTTCAAGATTTATACGGCAACAACGATATTGTTCTTCGCAAGCTTGTTGCTCCAGAAACTGTTGTCTCAGGCAAGATCAACCCAGTCACATACAATGGCGGTTTCCTTGTCATTTCCCGTCCAAATGATTTCCAGATGCCAATTATGGTTGGTGGCCTTCAGCATATTGGTATTCCAACAATCCGCTCCTTCAAGAAGCTCTATGCCAACCAGATTGTCCCAATTGCGGCTTTCCAGGGTCGTAATGGTGGCCGTATCACATTTATCTGCTCAGAGACATTCGCCCACGATTCCTCATTAAACTCTGAAGTCCGCTTTGCCGAAGACCTTACAGAAATCCCTGCAGAGAAATCCGGAAACCACGATCTCTTAATTCAACTTCTCGAATGGACAATCCACTACAAATCATACAACAAGATCGTCAGCGCTACACACTACGATCCAGCTACAAAGGAAGCTCCAGTACAATACACATACAACCAAAGTATTACAGTTGTTGCCGAAGTCTCCACAGCAAACAAGGGAGAATTCGTTCCATACACAGACGAGCTCCAGGCCGAAATCTTCATGCTCGGAACATTCGTCCGCCGCCACATGAAGATGGTTTCTCCAGGAAAATTCGAAGTTACAATGAACATCCCAGACAAACACGGCAACTACTTCATCAAGGTATTCACAGACAAGTTCGGATACTACAACGCAAGAGAGGAAATGGCAATCGCTGTTCGTCCACTCTCAATCAGAGAAAAGGAGCACTTCCTCTTCGCTGCTAAACCATACGTTGCATCATGCTTGTCTATCATGATTGGCGCTTTCTTACTTACTTGCCACTTCCTTTGGCACAAACCATCCAACTAAACACTAAATTTATTTATTAATTTTTTATTATTATTTTATTTTATGATGTGTTATGAAGAACTGCTCTTCTGTTTGTATCCTATTCTTTGATATTATTTTCTGATGTATTAAATACATTTAAATTTTGATTCCACGAATTAAATGGTGCCTTATAGACGATAGACCACCCTCAGAAAAGCACTTTTAAGACTAGAATCAGGATTTCAATCCATACATTCGAGTTCTAATAAGGTTATTTTTGTGATGTTTACATTATCGTTATATTATACACCCTTAATAAAAACTCTTTTTAAAAGTGTTTGCATTGAAATTTGTATTTTTTTTGACTAATGCTTTCAAAGAAACTTCTTCAACCATGCTCAGAAGGAAACCTCAATGAAATCAAATTACTAATAAATAGTGCCAGCGATAGCGAAATAAAGTCTATAAGCACCCCACTCATTGCAGCAGTGTGCAAGGGAAATCTTGAAGTTATTAATTATCTTATCTCTATTGACGCTAACAAAAATGCAAAGGATAAAAGTGGAAATAGTCCACTAATTGTTGCATCATCTAATGGCCAACTTGAAGTTGTTAAATATCTTATCTCTGTTGGAGTAGATAAAGAGTCAAAGAATAAAAATCAAAAAACTCCCCTCATTTGTGCATCAAAAAGGGGTCATCTTGAAGTTGTTAAATATCTTCTCTCTGTTGGGGCTAATATAAACGCAGAAAGTATAGGTGGAAATGCTCCTCTGAGTTGGGCAGCATACTTTAATCATCTTGAAGTTGTTAAATATCTTATCTCTGTTGGAGCTGATAAAGAGGCAAAATGTAACAAAGGAAAAACTCCAATCATTTGGGCATCAATGAGAGGTAATCTTGAGATTGTTAAATATCTGATATCTGTTGGAGCTAATAAGGATGCCAAAGATAATTCGGGAGATACTGCACTCGCATGTGCAACAAAAGATCGTTATTTTAAAATTGTTAATTATCTTCTCTCTGTTGGAGCTCATAAATAATTGATTCATTGTTTTCGAGTTACGTTTCCATATACATACCTAATTTTTTCCATTGAAATAAAACTTTTTTTTAACTTTCCATATCATAAGTTCCATCCTATGGAAGACTTTCCAAAGGCAAAAACATAGGTAAGCCATTAAAATTAGAAAAGAAAGAATATATTTTCAAATAATCGAACTACTGATATTAGTCGTAAGAAATTTTCAATTCCACCATTTGGTGAAGTCATAAAACACTAAGAGATGTTGAAGAAGTTAAAAAAATCAATGAATTGGCAACTAATTATTATATTAATCTGTGTATTATTAATTTCAATAAAGTGTATTATTAAGAGCTGTTCTTTAATTTGTGTCTTTTTCTTTGAAATCAAAGAGGAAAAATTTACCAACATGTAATCAAAAATTGAGATATAGACACAAATTTTGTAATGCTTTCACATATTTCAAAAGTTTTGTGATATTTGCAAATGATTTATAGAATATGAAATTTTTCTATTCTCACAAAATTGTATAAGTCATTTCAAGAGCCTTGTACCGATAAACTAGCCTTGTACTGCCATTTTATGGTGATGTAAAGTATTCAAAAAATTTGCAATGTAAACCATTACATGGCAGAAACTTTAAAATAAACAAAAACATGACACTTAGTACAGGGGCTTTTTGGCTGGTGAAGTCAGATAAAACGTGGCTCAAGTGCTCGTTTAAAATTAAAAATGGAATTTCTCACAGTCGAATTTCTTGGTAGACAACAAAAGTTTATCATCAATTGTCGCGCCGAAGGTATGACATATAGTCAAACTAAGCTTGCATGGGAGGAAGAATACCCAGATCTCGGAACTTTAACATCCAATCTCATTGCTACTGCACTTAAAAGAGCTGCATTAGGTCTATACTGGGAAAAAGGGAATCATGGCGGTGCAGATCCATACCTATGCGAGCGTGATCAGCTCACTTTAAAAGAAATTATCGAAGATTCTGCTTACAAAGGTGAAGCTCTAGAAGCAGCTGACATTATTGACGAGGCGTTCAAGTTGAAAGAGCTCAGAAGAGATTATGGTTACAGATTCCTTCTTGAGATTAATTGTCCTACTCTTGCAGAAGAAGTTATCAATACTCTTGGTGGTGATGATGTATCGAGACCTTATGTTAACCATATTTTACAGCAATTGCATTGCAAGCTTAAGGCATGCCAAGAGATTGAAGAATCAAGATACATGGCGTGTGAACCAAGAATTATCGAAGAATTCTACGATAAACATCGTGAAACAATCGAAAGTACTCCAGAGGAGTTGATTTTTAGTATCGATGAAACATTCATAAACAAATTTAAGAAGAAGAAAGTTGCATTACCTGAGGAGATAGAGCATATGATCGCCAAAGGAATTCCAAACTTTCCGCACATTACAGCTTTATGCGGATGCTCAATGACAGGCAAATCTGTCCCACCTCTCTTTGTTCTCCCATGTATTGCAGAACTACCTAGAGAACTGAAAGTATTCCAGCGCGAAAGACATTGTTGGTTTACTTCTACGCCAAAAGGCTGGGTGAACAGAAGTGTATTCTTATTGTATTGCATTTTCTTCATCGAGTGGCTTAACTTTGAACGCCAGAGAATGCCAGAAGATATACGTGACAAGCCTGCTCTCATTGTGTGTGATGGACACTCCAGCCGCGAGAATCCTCTGGCATTGTTCCTTTTGGCAAGTGCCAACATCAAATTAATTGTTCTTCCCGCACATACAACACACATTTTACAAGTATTTGATGTTGGCATTGCCAAAAGATTAAAGTCCAAATTCACGGATTATCTGAGAGATTACATTAAGGCACCGAAGCAAGAGTTCAACAGCAATGCTGCAATGATGCGCTACGCCATTATCTACTCATTTATTAGCGCATGGCAAGAATCAGTATCATTAATAACGGTTCAAAATGCTGCCGCCGCCTGCGGTCTTTGCCCTTGTTCTGTAGAAGCTCTCAAACATAATAAGTATGTTCGTGAATTGACTCCTGCAGAAAAAGAATTGCAAGAGAAAAGAAATTACCGTAATCGAAATCGTTTTAACATCAATGGTGAAGAATTGACGACGATGGACATGATTTGCGCAATTTCTGACAATATTAAGAAGAATCCTGCAAATCACAGATTTTGCAGGAAGCCAGAACAAGACACCAAGGAACGTTTCTACTTTTGGATTACAAACTATCTTGATCCCAGCACTGAGTTGTTGACAAAACTCCCTAATATGCCAGGTTATAGTCCAAATGATTAGGAAAATTTTCCAATTTTCCAACAAAAATTTTCCAATTCTCCACCAAAAATTTTTTAATAAAATATTATTTTACGGCATTGCCCGTCACTTTTTTTCAGTACAAGGCTAATATCACGGTATAACCCCCCTGAAAAGACTTTAAAATTAGTTGGCAAAATTTTTAAATTCAGTTCATTTCCTATTTGATTTCCATGGAACCTGACTGGAAAGCTATTGCTAGAAATATATCTGATTATGTTGATAATGATACATTCTTATCTTCAAGAAGTCCTCAGCAGATTGCCAAAGTACTTAGTTATGCACAATTAACTCCATGTGAATTTGCATCCTTATTCACAAATCTTTCAAACTATCATGGAAAAGCTGAAATATTGATGATGTTAAGTCGTGCACACCTAAAAGAATTCACAACTCAAGAAGAGGCAGCTGAAATTTCTGAAACAATTTCATCAATCCTCGGAATTCATGTTCTTGATTCATTATTTTCATTCTATCAAAATAGACCTCATGCAAACTCAACGAATACTCTTACAATAAGGGAACTTACTGGAAGAGTTACCATTATTGAAAATGTAGATCTCAATTGGAGAACTGAAGATTTGAAAACTGCGATTCAGAATAAAATAGGCATGCCTCCAGATCAACAAAGACTAATTTTTGCTGGAAAACAATTGGAGGATGGCAAAACATTAAGGGAATATAGTATTCAGCATGGAAGTTCACTTCATCTTATCACAAGATTACGTGGTGGAAAACCAGTGATCTATTTGTATCCAAAGGAAGAAATAGATGCCAAAGTAAGTATCAAAATCAATGATGGTGATTTTTCGTTCACATATCCTTCATTTGATGAAGAAAACACATGGAATGTGAAAGCTTTTCCATCAGGTGAGATCGTCCACAGAGGAAAGAAGATGAGGTATCTCTTCTGGGAAACACTCTTCTATCCAAATCTCAATATGGATAAAGGATTCATTATCAAAGGAGAAGAGTGTGTCTCTTTCTTCGAGGATAAGCTCAAGTCTATGAACCTCAACGACACAGAGATATGTGATTTCGTTACATTTTGGTGTCCAAAGCTCTGTGGATACAAATATGTCAAAATTTGCTTCCAGTTCCAAAACTTTGATGAAATGTGCCCAATGAATGTCGAACCAAAACCAGACAACATCAACAGAGTCTTCTTCGCAGCTCTCCCTCTAGATAATCCTTGCGATATCGAGCCACAAGAACTTCCGACATTCAAGCGTGATGGCTTCACAGTCATCGAATGGGGTGGAACAATTGTTACTTCTGAAAATCTATAATGCTTTATATCTTCTTAATGCAGTGAATTAAAATATTTAACATTAACTAGTCATTATTTATTTAGATATAATACTATCTTCCTATATTTAGAAATGAATTCTTTCAATAAAGAACATATCATTAAGTATTCTACTGTTTAATCTTCTACATAATGACTGATATGGAATACCCTCAATTTTTGACTTTTGCAACTTTTTCATGACCCCCTACCCAAGTATCTAAAATACCATTTATCGCCTGAAAAGCACCCTTAATTTATGCCAATTGACAAAATAAAGATATGTTTAGAATGCTGATATGATGGAGAATCATGCTGCATCATTATTGGCCAGCAATATATAATATTTAAGAAATCTACGAGATTATCTGATTTCATGAAACTCAATGTATACTAAGTTTCAGACTTTGAAAATTTAACATGTTGATATGGGTACATAGGGTTTATGATTCCAGTCATTTATTTAAAAAATTACAAAAATGAATTAATATGATGTGAGTAACAATGGTAATAAACGCTTAATTACTAATATATTATTTCTTGGTAGGAATGAAATGTTTTGGTGACATTTATAGAAGTTAAGCTGAGAATCAAAAATGCAAAAATTATTTTAAATATTACAAGCATTATTTGATGTCATTGAGTTTAGAGTCGTGTAGATATATGAGTACAATATGTTATTGATGTATATATGCAATAATTGTGAAAATGAAATGTGAATCTCAAGATGAGTTGCATGTTACTGCGCTATAATTTGAATTTAATACGTACATAACATTACTAAATGTATTTTAAGATAATACAAAAAATTAAGCTTGCAAAAAGATATCGAAATGTAATTTTCATTAGATTCAAAGTTCTGAATAGATTTTGATTTTAACTATTGATGAGTTTGTCAAACCTCTATAATAATAGAATGTAGAACTAATTAAATATAATTAATAAAAAAATACAAATTTAAGTGATATTATAAGAGATATATGTGATGTTACCAATATGATATGATATTGGAGAACTGATAGAATTGTGATGTGAGACTAAATATGATTTTATTATGAATAGGAGAATAATATTAGAAGAATTTCTTGAATTTAATGTATCTGAATATGTAATTGGGCATATATTCTATATATATATTGGTAGGTTAACTAGAAATAAGAAGATGAAAGATTGTTAATGAATAATATGAGATTAAGCGAAAATATATTGTTCTAATAGATGAGTGTTGAGATCCAATATATATGAAGAGGGATATGTGAGAGGAAATATGTAGATTTAATAAAATAAGCGATGAGAGAAAAAATAACAAAGATTTATATGAAATTTTGAGTATTGAAAAAGCTCGATTAGTGATTTTATGTCTGTTAAAGGAATAGATATTCTAGGAGAAAGATAAATTGAATTAAAGAAGAATAAAAAAAGTTGATTAAGATTGATAAAAATATTGAATTGTATGACAATGGAAAGAAGGAATAAATTGGTGTTGGTATGATGGTATCATTTCGGGAGACATTGCCTCTGCATGTCTCCCAGAATGAGACAATCTTCTGCAATCAGAATGTGATTGCAAAACTTTGACCGACAAGAGTGTATTGTGCACTCCTGTCGGTCGCAGTGTCTCATTCTGGGAGACATTGCCTCTGCATGTCTCCCAGAATGGAACAATGTTCCGCATTGATAACTTGAACGCGGAAGTTTGACCGACAAGAGTGTATTGTGCACTCCTGTCGGTCGCAGTGTCTCATTCTGGGAGACATTGCCTCTGCATGTCTCCCAGAATGGAACAATGTTCCGCATTGATAACTTGAACGCGGAAGTTTGACCGACAAGAGTGTATTGTGCACTCCTGTCGGTCGCAGTGTCTCATTCTGGGAGACATTGCCTCTGCATGTCTCCCAGAATGGAACAATGTTCCGCATTGATAACTTGAACGCGGAAGTTTGACCGACAAGAGTGCATTATCCAATCTTTTTTGTCATATACCTCAACCCACAAAGACAAAACCTTACATAAAATAGGTAAACTTTGGTTTTCACTTAATAATGTTTATTTTTAATTTTTTGTTCTTTATATAACTTTTTCTTCTACTAAACTATTTTACAGACTCTACTGAGCTATCCTCACATATATACCTGTGACAATAACACATATATACTCCCTTCATATTCTGATCTCATGACATATTACAGCACAAACTATAATTATACAACATACCTCATAAAGTCTGATTTTACCCCTATCTAAGCGTTCAAAACCTATTTTCCCCGCGTAATCTGATTCTTCTGGCTCTGCTGATTCGATTTCTGCTGTCAGATCGTGAAAATATGCATCACACAATGAGATAAACACAAAATACACAACTTAATATTTTCCTTAAAATTGTCAATTCCTCGATCTTGACATATTTATTATTTCCTCCGTTTTCCCTCATAAATATATTTAATTTTCTGAATAAGACGTATAATAAAATGAATATCTTAAAAACTAAAATACAAAATTAATGTTGGGTAATGACTAGATATAGTATGCACTTTTGAATTCATACATTTTTTGAAAAAATTGTATTTTCAAAAAAAGATGTTGTTTCAGTATGAACTTGAAGAGAAATTTTAAGGAAAATAGGTTTTGAACGCTTAGATAGGGGTAAAATCAGACTTTATGAGGTATGTTGTATAATTATAGTTTGTGCTGTAATATGTCATGAGATCAGAATATGAAGGGAGTATATATGTGTTATTGTCACAGGTATATATGTGAGGATAGCTCAGTAGAGTCTGTAAAATAGTTTAGTAGAAGAAAAAGTTATATAAAGAACAAAAAATTAAAAATAAACATTATTAAGTGAAAACCAAAGTTTACCTATTTTATGTAAGGTTTTGTCTTTGTGGGTTGAGGTATATGACAAAAAAGATTGGATAATGCACTCTTGTCGGTCAAACATCCGCGTTCAAGTTATCAATGCGGAACATTGTTCCATTCTGGGAGACATGCAGAGGCAATGTCTCCCAGAATGAGACACTGCGACCGACAGGAGTGCACAATACACTCTTGTCGGTCAAACTTCCGCGTTCAAGTTATCAATGCGGAACATTGTTCCATTCTGGGAGACATGCAGAGGCAATGTCTCCCAGAATGAGACACTGCGACCGACAGGAGTGCACAATACACTCTTGTCGGTCAAACTTCCGCGTTCAAGTTATCAATGCGGAACATTGTTCCATTCTGGGAGACATGCAGAGGCAATGTCTCCCAGAATGAGACACTGCGACCGACAGGAGTGCACAATACACTCTTGTCGGTCAAACTTCCGCGTTCAAGTTATCAATGCGGAACATTGTTCCATTCTGGGAGACATGCAGAGGCAATGTCTCCCAGAATGAGACACTGCGACCGACAGGAGTGCACAATACACTCTTGTCGGTTAAACTTCCGCGTTCAAGTTATCAATGCGGAACATTGTTCCATTCTGGGAGACATGCAGAGGCAATGTCTCCCAGAATGAGACACTGCGACCGACAGGAGTGCACAATACACTCTTGTCGGTCAAACTTCCGCGTTCAAGTTATCAATGCGGAACAGTGCCTCATTCGAGGAGCCCTCGAAAAGAACCTCACATCGACTCTCTCTTTCCGGCATCTTTACCGCATAGAAAACTTCTCGTTCGCAACTTTGTGTGCAATCTAAGAGATGATTGCGGTAAAGATGCCGGGAAGATTGACGCTGCAGCCCCAGGCCGCACTCAGATTTCATCCCGCTACACAATTGTTCATCCAACAACTGTCATAGAGGTTGAAATTTTCGACCAGAAGTGAAACATATCATTTTTAAGACTGCGGCGCGCAAGCAAGTTTGAACCTTTCAAGGGTGATCAGTCCTTTACTCATTTCAAGACCTCTTGTTGCCTGATAAAACGATACTTCCTTCCTTGTGGGCCATTGAAAACAGCCCAAACCGTCACAACATGCTTCCTAAATTTTATTTGCGGAGTAATTATCATGCATATTTTATCGGATAATAATATCAAAGCTAAATTTCATATATTTTTTAAAGATATGCATTTTCTGTCTAAATTTATTTTTTCTGTTTCCAATTCACGGAATAATATTCTTACAAGCATATACATAGCTAATATATCATTTTAATAATAATAAAACCAAAATGATGTATTCTTCATATAGTTATTTAAAATTCGTTAACTAGAATTGTATTCAGAACGAGGCAAAGTTAGGAGATACATAAAAACCAATAGCTTGATAAGTGATACCTTTTTTCCTGATATATCTATATGTGTTAATGTCAAACACGATTTGGAAAAATTAATTCTTTAAATCGGCTTAAGAATAAGACCAACATCAAAAGCATGGCTAATAAATTAATAAATCAATGTTTAATTACCGATTCATGCATTTTTTTCAAAATTTCAAATTTCGAATTTTTGTTTCTCCAAAATATTAATTGTTTCCACTAGATTAACAAATAAACAATAAATTGGATTAATGTAATGCCCAATCATTCATTTTAAATTTTAGATTTAAAACAATATTTTTCTCCATATTATTATAACATGAATCGCTATGATATAAGAAATATATTTTCAATATTGAAATTGAAAAATTCTAAAATTTTTGAAATTCAATTTGAGTGTGATGATCGATAACATATATTTTTTAATTAAAATCTTGTGTCGCTATCATATAAATATACTATTTCTAAATTAAAAATAGAAAAAAAAGTACTATTTAATGATGAAATTGCAAATAATATCAATATATATATATTCATGCTGATATATTTTGGGAACAGATTGGCAATCACATAAATAGGATTGTGTTAGTTTGTCATGGATATAAAACAAATTTTCGAGCTAATTGAGCGAATTTAAATCACAAACACTTATATTTTCTATTACAAGGTATATTTGTAATATACAACCAGTAAATAGCTTTCTCTAACTTTTACCAGCTTAGATGATAGCAAATTAGATACGAATTTCATGACCCCTCACCAAATTCCACTAAAACATATACAAATAAAAGTACTAAGTGGGTATCATCTAACCCTAGAATTATAGCTCCTAGGACTCATCCTAGATGGTAGTTCTGGAAAAACACCTGGTTTTTGGAGTTGCAAAAGTTAAAAATTGAGGGTAATATTCTTTGTTAGTTATATAATTATTTATGCTTCAAAATAGTGAATGAATGCTAATAAAGAACCGATATTTATAAAAGTTTCCATTTCTAAAAAAGGAAAATGAAATATTTTTCTTATTCAGTCTTTGATCAAACTGTTTGAACTTGCAGATATTAGCTTCCAAGTTCCTTTGGCTGTAAACTTTAGAAATACTAATGGGAAATGTTGGTTAGTTTTTATGATTTTGGATTGATGAAATTTTTACTGAACCAAAAAGTGACAAAATTTAAAATTTGGATGCTCAATTTCTTATTTATTTATACATTTTCTGCGAATTCAACGGTCACTCCATCACCTACAAAAATTACACCATCTCCTACACAAGTTGTTACTAAAACTCCATCTCCAACACCAAATATAACTAATTCTCCAGAAAAAACACCAGCTCCATCACCAAATGCTACAAAAATACCAGATAGAACACCACTTCCAACATTACAGCCAACATCACCTCCTGCAACAAAAATTATCACACCATCCGCAACAGAAAAGCATGAAGAAGTAATAACAACTACACCATCCCTTGAACCAACAATTGATGTACCAACACCAAATGTTCCAACACCTCTACCGACATATAATTCATATTCTCAGGAAGCCTTTATAACTTTCTTACTAATAATAGTTTTGGCTGCTATTGGTATTATCATTTTATACAAGAAACATAGAAATGCTGAAGATAATGAAATCGAATATACAAGAGCCATCATTGGTGACGATGCGTTTGAGTTTAGCCAAATGGATACTATCTAGAGTGTTTATATTTAAATATTTTTTTGTTATATTAAAAAATTCTCTATATTTTATAAACAAAACAAAATAATATTAATAACACAAACTCTTATATAGTTCAGGAAAGCACCCCTGACTTTAACATCAATTAAAAATGTTTTTTGAACTGATATTGCATTTGTTGACTTTCCGTTTCTCTTTCTTTGATTTTAAATAGCTCTATAATGTATTTAAAGGCTAGAGAAACATATATTCTAGATCATTAAAACTAATTAATAATTATCTGAATCTTCAGAATATTCTGAGTATGGTTCATCAAGTAAATCTTGAAAATTATCATCACCTGATGCTTCGCTACCGGCATGTTCGTTAAAATTTTCTTCTGCTTGTGGAATATCTTTCTCACCTTCAGTGAATTTCATATCATTATCAGAACTATCTAATCTATCTATTTGATAATGAATTTCAGGATCATTTGGATCATATGTATAATTAATACTATTAATGAAATTTGCAACATGATTTATTTCAGAATCATCATTTTCATTTTCCATTTCATCTCCAACTAGAACATTTGCTTGTTCTATTATTTCTTTTGCTTTCATATATGCTTCTTCTAATCTAATTCTTTCTAATTCTTCTTCAGAAGGCTGTTCATTTGCAATATCATGTTCCTCTTGTTGAGGGATATTAATAATTTGAGATAAGTTTTTGAATTTTGTTGAAGGAATAAAAAATTTTAACTGTGCATGGAAGTTAATGATAATATTTCTAACAATTTCACGTTCATCTGCATCATAACCTATTGGATCAAACATTCGAGGATCGCGTGATGCTCGAATGATGTTCATATTTTTTTCTATAAAATTTTTGTCAAAATTTATGATTGAGTTACACCAAATTAATCTTAAATTTCCATAGTTAAAGCCAGTTCTTAAAATAAAGCATCATTTGTGAAAATTTCTTAATAATTCCTTTGAGCATTGATATCTTGGGATATATCCCTCGATTTTAGCTTATGTGGAATGGTTCTTAATCATCATTGTCATAAATTCTTATGTTATTCTTAATATTTTGACTAAATATAAAGAATAAGAATTTAAATATTAAAGTTAAACAGTGTAATGATTTTCTAAGAACTTCCAAATATAAACTTTTATTCAATTATATAAATCCATGAAATTTATAATTCAATTTCGCGCCATTTCATTCTATTGATTAAAACTTGTGGTACCATGAATTCAAGATTTTCGACATTGTCAGTCTCAAAGTACTGGCCGGCCGAATACTTGATTCCATAAGTCATATTTGGTTTCATCCAGTCGTAAGGGAGTCCCTTTGAGCCGTACATGAACTCAAGGAGGGATGTAGTATGTTTCTTGCGGAATCCTAAGAATTCGTTCGTAACTTCGTCAACTGTGTGAATTATGCAAACTGTGTCTTGATTCTGGCATTTTCTCTTGAATTGCTTAACAGGAACTACATTGAGAGACTTTACTTTGTTTGTCAAACGCTTAAGAATGAATTTGTTGATTGCATCTTTAAGAGGAAGGAATTCGTTGATTCCGTCGTAAATTAATGTCTTAGAAGAGTTGCGCATCATAATCTTAGGAAATTCTGTGATGTTGAAGCTGGCGGCGAGTGTCTTATTGTTGGAAAAACCGATTTTAATAAGATGTCCTTTATCACGAAATTCATAAGAGATAGCAGTCCAAAGAGAAGGTGGAATCTTACGTTCTGTGAACAATACGCATACTGCTGTTGTATAGTTCTCATCTAATTCGTTAGTAATTTTATATGTGAAATCTGGAATCATAAAGGATGCGCGGTTGACTAATTGGCGTGCAGTTGTGTTGCCTGGAAGTGTGAGAACGCCTCCAGAGCGATAAATGCAAAATGATGGTTCGTAAAGCTTTAATTTACGTGCATAGCTTGGTGTTTTAGCTGTATCTAGGTAAACAAATTTCAAAAATCCTTTACCAATCTTAAAAGCTTCCTCAAGTACTTCGTTTGCAGCTGCATGACCGTCGAGATCTGGATTTGACATCAAAACAACGTATACTGTAATTTTTCTGCCAGCAATGACTGTCTGTTTGAATCTTGTACCATCCATATCTTCAATCTGCTCGATTTTCTTTGCACAAGCAAGAGCAAAGAGAGCGAGAAGCATCAAAAGTGACACATATCGCTCCAGCTAAATTAGAGCATCATTATTTTGGAACAAATAAGCATGCAATGAACATTTTACAAAGAAATTGATCAAATTGATCAGCTTTCATATATCAATTTTAGTTTTTCTTTGATTTCGAATCTAAATTTGTAATCGAATACGATATACTGCTGATGTATGAATTATCATGGTGTGTGTAAATATATTTTTCAAGGAATATGATGCAATACGCATCAATATTCAACTTCAAATTAAATCATGAATTCAACTATAGAATAGCTAATCAAAAAGCATATTAGGAGGATACAAATATAATTATGAGGAGGATGATCAGCAAACAATTAATAACGAAATATTCCTGATATATGATCACTCCTCTTCCTTTTATAATTGGAAAATACGAAGGTCAATGAAATATATGTTCCATTGCAATAGTAGATATTGAACAATTTCAGCAATGAATTCTAAAATTTATCACCACAATATAAATTTTAAGATAAATATAATATACTAGTGTTGTATAATCTAAATCTTAAGTTTTAGCAAAAATTTTTATAAAGAGGAAGTCATTGTGACGATTATTTTTAGTTACAGAAAGATTTTCAAATGAGCATTCCAAAAAACAGAATTGCTTACTTCTATGATGAAGAAATTGGCAATTTTTACTATGAGGAAGGCCACCCAATGAAACCTGTAAGAGTTCGTATGACTCACAGCCTTGTACTCGCATATAAACTTCATAACCATTTGCAGGTCTTCAGGCCCCATCGTGCTACAGCAACTGAAATGATGCGCTTCCACTCCCCCGATTACATTAAATTTTTGCAAAATGCTACACCAGAAAACTCGATTACAAGTATCCAAGAACAAAAACGTTATTGCATTGGCTCAGATTGCCCAGTTTTCGAGAACATTTTCGAGTACTGCCAAATTTCCGCTGGTGGAAGTATCTGCGCCGCTCAAAGATTGAATTATAATCTTGCAGATATCGCCATCAACTGGGCAGGCGGCCTCCATCATGCTGCCAAAGAGAAGCCAAGTGGCTTCTGCTACATTGCAGACTGCGTTCTTGGAATTATGGAGCTTTTGAAATATCATCCAAGAGTTATGTACATTGATATCGATATTCATCACGGAGATGGTGTCGAAGAAGCATTTTACGATTCAGATCGCGTTCTTACATGCTCATTCCATAAATACGGAAATGATTTCTTCCCAGGCACCGGCCACGTGTTTGATATTGGTGTCGACCTCGGCAAATACTACGCAGTCAATGTCCCTCTCAGAGATGGCATGACAGATGAAGCTTACCAATTTATTTTCCGACCAATCATTTCAAGGCTCATTGAATGGTTTGTTCCTTCCGCAATTATGCTACAATGTGGCGCAGACTCGTTAGTCGGCGATCGTCTAGGTTTCTTCAACCTCTCTACTTACGGACATGGAGATTGTGTTTCATTTGTAAAAAGCTTTGGAATTCCTCTTCTCGTTGTAGGAGGTGGTGGATATACAAAGACAAGCGTTGCTCGTTGCTGGGCTTACGAGACATCAATCTTAACAGGCGTCGATATTCCAAATGAAATGCCAGAAACTGATTATTACGACTTTTACCGACCAAGTTACGAACTCCATCTTAAACCAGATGGAAAGAAGAACTGCAATAGCAGAGAATACCTCGAAAACGTTATGTGCCATGTTATTGAAAACATTAGACATTTACCAGGAGCTCCTTCAGTCCAAATGCAGGAGTTACCACCTAGGGATATGATTTCGGCAGCATTACGCTTGCCTTCTGATCCAGATGCTGCTGCTCGCAATTTTACCCACCAGGCAAATAATGAAGACGATGAAAACGAAGAATAACGCTGTTTATACATACTAAACTAAATGTTTGACTGATTATATTTTTCTAATGTTTCTATTTCTGAATACAATAAAAAATTGCAACAAAGCAGCTTTTGGATTCAATTAGTTCATCACATCAGCTGAATATTATCGAAAAGTATGTTTACTTTCCCTTTAAAAAATCCAGAAATTGTGCTAACAACTTTTCTGGCAAAATGTCTGCCATTGAAACGTACGCCATCATTTGACTCAAATAATGTCTGTTATCACAGCTATTAGATCCTATTTTTTATATATAGATTATGTACAAATATCTTAAATTCATGCTGATGTCATTATCAAACTTTCTATTTTCTCTGAAAATGTTTAATGAATGCTTAGATCCGACCTCTATTAGTTTCCAGTAAAATTCATATCAATATAACTAAAACATTTCAGAATAGATGATGAAAAGGAAACCATGAATTTAATGCTGGGAAGTATTCATTCATTTTATCATATTTGGCACTATTTATTTGTTCTATATGTCATGTTTTGTAGGTTCTGAAATTCATGTTTCCAAGGATGTATCATTGCTTTCATTCGATGAAAATATAATCACTATGCGTACCAGTCTATCTGGATACATATTTCTATAGATAATTTCCTATTAACCTCTAAGGATAGCAAGATAAAGGCACCCGAAGTCTCCTAAAAATTGTTTTTCTCTAAAATTGAAAGGGAATTTGCATGGAAGATTTTTGGAAAATATTTTCCACCTTTCTATCAGATAAATGTTTTCTTCTTACGAAGAGTTGAATCTAATTCAAAATCAGATCGTTCTTTCAAATTTTTATGATTGCATTTCTGATTTTATTTTGCGCGAGTAAGGACTATTGTTTCTTAGGATCATCAACTATGAATTGTCCAGAAGATACTGTACTAATAAATTCCTCTGAAGAAGTTGATTTTCAGAATGATACAAAAATTTACATTTTCAATAACGAAGAAACTCCGTTTGATTTCGACATACAGAATTTAACAATAAATCATACAGTAAATTGTATAATAAAAGGCAATGATTTCAATCCGATTATTCTCAAACAAACTTATAACCTCCTTTTCAATCTATTCCTCGAGAATGTAAGGGTTGTTTCGATCAACCAAGACCAAGAAATACATTTTATATCTTTCACCAATGTAAAAACGCCACAACTTGATCGTCTTTTGATAAAGATTCTTGAGACCGATACTTTTTCAATAAATCCAACTATTAGTGCTAATGATCTTAATTTTTACTTCGATGCCCCTCTCACAAAAAATATTCATTTCTCAGCTTCAAATTTAGAAGTTTATCAGAAAATACCTAGTCTGTCATGCGTGCTAGATACTAAATCAATATTATTCGAAAGCGGAGAGTACAAATTACTTGCAGTTATTTCTTTGAATATAATGTTGAACGTAAAAGATAGTTTTACGATATCAGAGATCAACAAAATTACAGTAGTTACTAATATCCATTCATTTAATGCAATTATTACATTCGAAACTAATACAACATCTAATATTAATTTTTATTTTAATTTGAATACCACAATTGACTTTTCAAAAGCATGGAATCACTATTGTACAGTGTATGTACTCAATGCAGGTACATTTAAAACAAAATCAAATATAAGAATAAGACAATTGTCAATTCCTGGAAGTTTAACAATAGTTTCCGATACGAATGTCTTACTACAAACATCAGTGTTAGGTCTTGGTAATTTTACGCTGGATTATCCACTAACAATCCAGCCATTTTCAAAACAATCAGATTTATTCAATACTATTACAGAACGTATGAACCAATACTATTCTAATCACGAAGTTACTGTTAAAGGCTTCAATTCTACAGAAATTTACGTTAATATGACAAATTATAATTTTGAAGTGTCTCATATCACATTTTCAGCGAAAATGAGCAACCTGAGGACAATATGTATCAAATCTATCAAAGCGGACTCTATAGAAGCCAGAATTATTGGAAATGATAATATGACGATTTCGGATTACGAAAAAATCGTCAGGAAACGAATTCCAATACTACAATGTGAAGATTTGAGCGTAGAAACAGTTACAAAAAACCTTGGCTACTTCAAAGCAAAAGATGTCTGGGATAAAGCTTATTCTTGGTGTCAAAACCGAATTTTCATGGATATTTATCAAATTCAAAACAAAATTTTCATGAATCTTAATGCTAATCCAATTTTGACATATTTAAGAGTAGCTTACGTGTCAGATTTTTCAAAAGTTCCTGAATATTTTTCAGGATTGATTATAAATGAAAGTAGCTATGATTTCACAGGTTATATCAATGAATATACAAAAGCTGTTCAAATTTATGTTTTTGAGAACTTTACAAAACCTCTCAAATTTAATATTTCTACAAACACGAAATTTGATTTTACGATAAATAATTCGAAAAATTTTGATATAGATTCAGCATATTTTTCTGTTGTTTTGGATTTATCAAACATCAATGACTTCGCAAACAAGTTTGAAGTAGAAAATGTTAAAATTAAACTAGTGTCAAATGTCACTTTTGACCTCACTTCTGTTACATTTCATAGGAATTCAAATTTAGTTGGAGAATATGATTTTTCTTCAAGCACGAAAGTTTTTGTTTTTTCATATGTTTACAATAGATTTAATTTGAAAAACGTGAAACATTTCGGAATAATTAATTCCAAAGCTGTAACTATTTACCAAGATGATGACAAATTCTGTTTTTTGCCAGACAAAGACTTTCAAAAACAATGTTCACCAAAAAGTGACTATTTTATGTCAAACAATTGACAGATGGAAAAATTACATTAAGAAACGAAAATCTCAATATGAAACCAATTACTTTTATGACAGAAAATAACACTCATTTAGAATTTGAATTAGTTTCAACATACATTTCAGATTATCCATCAATTTTATTTGATGAAAGTGTTACAGATGTAAAAATCGAATCATTAAGTGGAGAGTTCCCAATTGAATCAAAATTTGACATGAAAAAACTGTTTGTTAATGGATTGAATTTATTTTCTAGATTGTATATTAAGTGTAATATAATTAAGTTGACTGTGCAATCAATTGGAAAATTTGAAATTGTAATTAATACTTTTGATATTTCAAAGCCTGTTGATTATTCTTTTTCATCTAATACGTTTTCAAAGAATGATGTTACATATAACATTTCCACAAAAAGTGATATAACATTAAGTGGAGTTCTGCCTGATGTTATTTTGTATAAAACACAAAAAGATCCGGATATCAATGAATGTTTGGCAAATAGAGCAAAAATAACTGTTGTTTTCGATTACTTGGAATATCAAAAAACAGGATATTTCCCTCTATTGGATTTAACTGATCCTGAATATGTTGGAATACATTTTGCTTTGGAAGTAGTGAATACGAAAAACATTTCTTTCTTGAAAAAGAAAATGTGCCATGGATTAATTAGTTATCCTTCTGTTAGTTTGTCAAGTGACAATTCTTCTCCGAATATCAACCTCAAATTCCTTTTCGACAAACCTGATTTGTATTTTGTTGTTGAACCTGGATATACTCCATTGCCAACACATGTAAAAACAAATTCTCCAACAAGTCAACCTGATAAATCAAAAACAAAGTTGATATTGATTGTAACTTTCTCTGTTTTAGGTTTCTTGATTTTGGTTGCTGTTATTGTTGTTGTCGTTATACTAAGATTGAGGATGAAGAACAAGTACACGACAATCTCTCTTTCTGCATCTTAATTTCTTATGTTTTGTTTTGTTAAATAAAAAAATCTTATATGTTTAATTTAATACGAACTATATATATGTGATATTACATATGTGACCTTTCGTTGAATGATTTAATAAGAAATTTCATTTCAAATCAAATAACCTGTATAAACCTATTTGGAAGTTAATGTGTATTTTTAGCTGGACTCTCCTTTATGTGATCGAATTTAAAGCATAGAAAATAAAGAAGTTATGAATTTCCTTTTGAATATTAAATACATTCATACGGAATAGTTTCGATTCATCATAATTTATTAAAGATAGTATAATATTCTGTATATGAAGCACCAAATATAAAGCAGAAAATTAATTTTTAGTAAAATATGAGCAGAATTCTTGAAATTATGATCAAAAACAGTTTAAATCAATAGTAGATGCGTATATTTGGTGTTATTGCTTAATTTATTGATATGCATTTTCCAAGTGTAAAAAGTGACACTAAAATGTTTCTTTTTGTTTTAATCTTAAGTATTTCTTCAATTGAGAGAGCCGTTGCTCACGATAAAAGGAATATCATACGAAGAGATAGGATTCCTCAATTCAGGGATCATAATCCTTTCAGAAAAAATATAACACGAAAACTTTTCAATTCACCGCATAATACTCAAAAGTCAGTCGTTGAAGAATCAGATGATTTAATTCACAACCAAAACGATCGCTCAAAAATTATAGAAAAATTAAAATTAGATGAACAAGAGCCCGAATCAAAATTTATTGCTTCCCACAATAAAGACAATAGAAGGATTGGAAACAGGATCACTAATAAATTAAATCCTGACGAAAAAATAGAAAAATCCGAAAATACAGAAGAAAAATCCGGAAACGAACCAGAGACATCCAAGAAGCTTGAAGAAGCCTCATTAGACGAAATTTTCGATAAAATGGGCACAAAAAGACCAAAAGTTTCAAAACCAGGTTATGTCGACATAGGAGATCCACCAACAACCCACAAACATATTGAAACAAAGGATGGCGAAATTACAGGTGTATCCAAAATGCCTACAAACAACAAACCATTCAAACCAACAAAAGCCAACTCAAAAGGCCCAATAATAGCCAAAGACCCTAATAATAATGATGAGAAAGAAGGAGATGAACCAGAAACCTCTTCAGAATCAACAGAAAACAAAATACCAAAATCAGATATCAAATTGAACACTACAAAAGAAGGTTCAAGTGCTAGAAACAATAATACCATGTATACAAAGACTTTACCAGAAGGAAAATTAAATAATTTTACAAAACATGGAATTGAGCCCATAAAAGATAATACAACAGCATTAGATATCAACATAGCCAATAAAACAGAGGTTTCGGATGAAAACGTGACAAAATTAAATATTTCAGAAAATAATTCCACAAAAACAGAAGTAAATGAGACCAATACTACTAACCCTAGCCAAGGAAACCAAGATCCATTAAAGGGTGACAATTATCGTGATCCAAGCCAATATGATTTTTATGATGACGATGATATGATTGGTCCTGGCAATTTCAAGTTCGGATTCTTCGGCAGACGTGATAAGAATGGTAATTTGATATGCGGAGCGAACGCATTTTCTCCTGATAACCAAAGTTGCCAATGTACCGATTCTTTCCCAGAAGGCAACCCATATGATTCATCCGGATGCTATAAATGTGACAAGAAATGTTCATTATGGGCTGGATGCTACAGAGATAACACATGTCGCTGTATGTACGGATTTAAAGGTAATGGCACTTTTTGCGAGTCGGAATACGTTAAATTAGAACGAATTGAGCCGGTCAAAGGCCGTAAATTGAACATTACTTTCACATTCCAATCTGATTCCGAGTTAGATACACTTTACTGCAAATTCGACTCCACAATTGTCAGAGGTTATGATGTTACATCAAACAACGCCATTTGCGACATTCCTGCAGGCGTTGATTCAAGATTTGCATTTGCCATCTCTAAAAACCCAACGAATTTCGAGCAAGACAACACTATTTACGATATTCCGAAGAAGGAAAACATGAGGAGCAGGAAAAAAATGGGTATTATCTTTATAATTTCGATGGTTGTCGTATCAATCTTCCTTTCGAACACGAAACAGCCAAAGAAGCAGCTCCAACGAAAGATAGTCAAGGAATTACCTAAGCCAGGTGAAGATGATGTAGAACAGGAACAAGATCCAACGACAATGAAGTTTAATGACGTACAAGGAACAATTGATGACATTGAGAATATCCCCAATGATGAAAACGACGACGCTGATGAAGAATCTGTCTATTCTCAGCCAATTGATACAAATATTCCTCCACCAGCTGATGTTGAAGTTCCACAACAACCTCAACAGCCAATTCAGCAGCTATAAACTCAAAGTTCATAAGAATTGGCTCTATTGGTTTGAAAAAAAAGATTTTATTATTTTTTTAATACAGATTTGTTAAAAAGATCAAATTATTTCAAAGCTTTTATTAAATATTATTACATTGTTTTAAGGATCAATCTATTTTAACTTAATTTTTTTTTATATAAATTTATAATCTTTTATGAACATGAAACTGTGCATTTTCATTGATACACATTCCTTAGATATCTTGGATTTTCTATTAAAATCCTAATTAATCATTATATCTCAAGAATATTTTTAAAAAATAGCTTAAATCATTGAATAATTCAAAGTCTATACTTGATTTAAGGAAATATTATGAGCATTAGTTAGTATATTGCCTATACTATTTACCTAAATATTTTAAAGTTTGAAATTTTATGAAAAGAAACCTAATTGAGTTAGGTAAATCAGATAGTTAATATCTGTTCTGCATATTAATGTTTTGCAATAATAGTCTTCGTATTCAACTATTCCAAAAATATCAAATTCAACTAAACAGAAATGATACGTGCTAGAAGTGCTCATGCCTTGCATTGTGAACTTTAACTTGTTAAATGACATCTTAGTGCTAGCAACATCATAATTTCTATAAATTGATGAAACAAAATTTTGGCTCGATCGTGTATCAATTGTTATCCATGATGTGTCATTATATACTTGAACAATCCAACCTTGTGGTCTCGTTAAATCATTACTAAAACTTCCTCTAATAACATAAGTGTAACTATATAAATTTATATAGTATTTACTATTAAATATTATTTCAAGATAAGAATTTTCGGTGCTATATGAGCACCAGTCACTGTTATTGACAACACCATCAGTAATAAATTCAATTCTTGAATACCCAAAATTTGTGGTGCTGGGAGTTAATGTATAGATATTTCTATAGTTGTGAAGTATACCGCTATAATCGGTATTACTTTTGATATATGCATATTTCCGACTTATTCAATCATATAAAAAAGCATTTGTATAATGGCACTTTTAATTCAATTTGAGTGATCGATTTTATATGGTTGATCTTTTTCTGTCACCCATGAATATATAATGTGAATGTGCTGTTTAAAGTTTATTCTACTTGTTATTAAAAAAGGCATTTAAACCTTTACTTTATGGTTCTATGAAATTCTGAACCAGACTTATAAAATTTTTTTGTTCCAATGAAGTGCTCCAACTAAAATGTGTTTATCATGAATCTCTCTCTCTCTCTAGAATTTCTCAATATTTAATTTTTAATTTTGATTTCATTCGATAAAGCTTATCTTAGGTTGAAACAACACAAGCAAAGGTCAAGTAGATGAAAAAATATCAAATTTAACTCTTGTTTGAGTGTAAGTTCAAAATTTCTATTTTATAAGATATCTTCGAGTATATAAAAGTGAACATATATAAAAGGTAGACCATCCAATAAAACGCAACATATATATATTTGGTTAGGATACGTTCATTCAATTGTATCATATTCAAGGTAACATTTTATTTTTCCGAAACACTGATATGAAAATGTTCTATAAGGCGTCTCTATTAAACTGTTATAATTTGAATTCTCAGGTTGCCATATACATCGAGATATTTGCATTTCAAATTATCCTATTTTGCATCCGTTACCCCCACCAAATGCTACCAAATTGATATATGTGTATTACTACAATATCAGAATTAAAGTTTTCTTATTATTTTTTGTAAATATTACTTCATTAAGGCTAGAAACGAAATTAATTTAGTCTGAAAATAACCTTAAACGGTAATTCCTGGAAATGGAGGGTAGTTACGAAATTTTAAATTCTCTTTATTTTTTGAACTATATTTATAATTTATAATCCCTGATTTCATAGATTTAAACCCTTTTATGCAATAACAATTTTCAACTTAATCATAACAGACTTGTCGGGTTTTATTTTTTGCAGCAACATGGGGGCAACACGAATGATGGGTAATTCCCCATTTCGGTGCTAATTGGGGAATGTCATATAATGGAGATAAAGGTAGTGGTAATGATGTGATGGATCATTTAAAATATATCGGATTGAAGCTGGATTTTTGAACTCTTTCGTCAAATTTTCGTTCTGAAAATTGAAGAATTTCTGGTAATTTCTGGTATATTAGACCTTACGACTTGGACTTTAATATCATCGATATTATATCTGCAGGAGGTTTTAATTCATATCTATGAACTAGAACAAAATTCATAAATTACTTCCGAAATCTTTGTATTCATTTTTTTATCCCATATGTTTAACATAGAATTTTTCTCTAAATAAATTTTAAAGATATTCTAACTGGTAAAATGCATATATATGACTTTTAAATTTTTTAATGTCGGAACAAAACGTTGACTCAAATAAATACAGTGAGGTGCGAAGTATCTTTAAATACGACATCGATATATATAATGCATTGTATCAGCTGAAAACGGAAAATGAAGAAGATTTAAACTCAATTTACAAACTGATCAAAACAGAATTGATTGATTCAAAGAAATACCCACCAAAAAGGATTATGGAAGATATTTTAAATATCATTCTGTATAATAATCGCTATACAAAGTCATATTTAACTCTTGCCAAACTTATATCTGATGATTATCATGTCGCAGAGACCAACGTGGTTAAATTTATATCAGACTTCCTGTTTTATAAGGAATATGGAATTATATTAGATAAATTTGATGATTTCAAAAAAATTAACCCAGAAAATCTGGATATTCATACAGAAAATACAGTTTACAGAGCAATTATGAATAATGACCTAAAAGCATTCATCCAATTCACTGAAAGAGAAGAATTTGATGAAGATCAAAAACTTGAAAGTAGTTTATATCCATATTCTGAAGAAGGATATTCATTACTTGAATTATGTTGTTACCATGGAGCAGTTGATTGTTTCAAGTTCTTAAGAACGAAATTCAGCTCAGAAATAACTGAAATATGTCTTCAATTTTCATTTTTAGGTGGAAATCAAGAGATCATGAGTGAATGTTTGAAAAATCAAACACCAGATGAAGATTGCATGATATACGCAATTATTTCGCACCAAATTGATTTTGTTACATTCTTGATGAATGAATTCAAAATAGAGATCGATTTATCTGATTGCGGATTGTATAATAATCTTGAATCCTTTTTAGTTTATTTCGATCAAACAAATGATATTAACAAATGCTTTTTTAAATCTGTGATTTTCAACATTCCATCTGTTTGTGAATATTTCCTTTCAAATGGTGCAAATATCAATGAAAAAGATAATGATGGAGATACTGCTCTTCATATTGCAGCATGGTATAATAGTAAAGAAACAGCCGAACTTCTTATTTCACATGGTGCAAATATCAATGAAAAAGATAATAATGGAAAGACCGCTCTTCATATTGCAGTAGAAAATGATCATAAAGAAACAGTTGAACTTCTTATTTCACATGGTGCAAATGTCAATGAAAAAAATGATGATGGAATAACTGTTCTTCATAGTGCAGCATATTTTAATAGTAAAGAAACAGCCGAACTTCTTATTTTTCATGGTGCAAATATCAATGAAAAAGATAATGATGGAAGAACTGTTCTTCATAGTGCAGTATATTTTAATAGTAAAGAAACAGCCGAACTTCTTATTTCACATGGTGCAAATATCAATGAAAAAGATAATGATGGAAAGACCGCTCTTCATATTGCAGTAGAAAATGATCATAAAGAAACAGTTGAACTTCTTATTTTACATGGTGCAAATGTCAATGAAAAAAATAATGATGGAATAACTGTTCTTCATAGTGCAGCATATTTTAATAGTAAAGAAACAGCCGAACTTCTTATTTCACATGGTGCAAATATCAATGCAAAAAATAATGATGGAAGAACTGTTCTTCATAGTGCAGCATTTGGTAATAGCAAAGAAACAACTGAACTTCTTATTTCACATGGTGCAAATATCAATGAAAAAGATATTTATGGAAAGACCGCTCTTCATATTGCAGTAGAAAATGATCATAAAGAAACAGTTGAACTTCTTATTTCACATGGGGCAAATATCAATGAAAAAGATATTTATGGAAAGACCGCTCTTCATATTGCAGTAGAAAATGATCATAAAGAAACAGTTGAACTTCTTATTTCACATGGTGCAAATGTCAATGAAAAAAATGATGATGGAATAACTGTTCTTCATAGTGCAGCATATTTTAATAGTAAAGAAACAGCCGAACTTCTTATTTTTCATGGTGCAAATGTCAATGAAAAAGATAATGATGGAGAAACACCCCTTTTTAATGCAGCAATGAAAAATAGAAAAGAAACGGCGGAACTTCTTATTTCACATGGTGTTAATATCAATGCAAAAAATAAATATGGAAAAACCGCTCTTCATGAAGCAGCATATTTTAATAGTAAAGAAACAGCCCAACTCCTCAAATCACATGGGGCAAAAAACTAATGACCCCACACTGATGCCTCTCTTTTTTCCACTTCTTACTCTTTTTGATATATTTGACGATATATAATTAAACTTTTTGCACTGAGTCTATACGTAATTTTTTTTAATTGAAATCACAACATATAGCCAATATTACACCAAAGTATTATATGCTAGGTGCATAATCCTGATTAATTAAAACAAACAAAAAATGTTATTAGCTATTTACGAATTACGTTATATTAAGTTCTAAAATGAACTTTCAACAGTTCAAATCTCATTGAGTGAATTAACTCTCTTCATATGGAAATATTATTCTGAGAGAAAATATTTTATATAGATTAAACTTAAACTATTGAGATTAGGATTTTAATGATGTCATATGAATCAATAATGCATTACTTATTGTGAGTTATACAATGCCAAAATTATCTACTTACTTTCCATTCCTATATTTTAGAAAAAATCGTCATTTTATTCATGGTGTTGAAGGATTCCTATAAAACATATTTTCTAAACCATAAAAAATAACTTCATACCTAAGCTATTATTCAATTTTGAAGCAATTTATGGTATTTCATAACAACGAGCAGTCATTCAGATCTTAGATTGTTTAAACATTTATTTTTATAACAAACAAAGCATTATCAAATGAGGAAATTATAATTTAGCCTTGAATCAAAAATATACAAATAATCTCACGAAATTTCAAGGCTCTCGTATAATGAATTTATTAGTCTGCTTTCATAATGGTAAATGTGTTAGCTCTTTGATCAAAATACGCTTCTCCTTCAATAACGATATTCTGTTGATCTTCTTCATTGTAATCTTCTAATTTTCCAACAAGAATTGTGTATGGACATGAAGTTGTGAAAACTAGCATGAAAATATTTTCTTCTTGATTGAAATATCCAAAACCTTCTGTTTGTCTTAATCTAAATATTCCAAATGAATGTATTAATGAATTTTCATAAGATTGAAGCTCGAAATCTGTTTGTGTGTATCCTAATCCGAAAATAGAATATCCAATGTATTTTCCTGATAATTTTTGATTAATATTAGGCGTTTGATCATTTGCATTGTCGATGTCTATTTCTAACTTATGGACAGCTAAATTCTCTGATGAAAGCAAAATTATTTTTGAAGTTTGATTTGTTGATTCAATTGTTCCTGATAAGCAGATTTTTTTAAATTTACTGGTATAAAGTGTTGCTGATGAAGTCTTTTTAGATTGATCGTATTCAATTCGAATTGTATTATGAACATCTTCGTAAGAGAAGTAACCATACATTAAAAATTGTTTAATTTCTAGTTTCATGTCGATGCTATATGTTTTTTCGTTAATTGTATAATTTAATTTTGCAACATTCAATTTATGTATCTCTTTACTGAAATTTATGCCGCATAAGTCATTTGAGTATGGTTTAAATTCGTTTTCATTAACATTGCATTTGTCTACTACAGATATTTCCACGTTGTTATATCCAGGTGGATATTTTCTTGCAGATTTTGGAGGTATATGTGCAACCCTAACTTCTACTCCATCACACAAAAGTGTTACGTTGATTTCTTCATTGCCCTTATTATACACATAACCTGATTGAATAATAACGTCATTCATGAAATGTTTAGATTTGTATTCTAATATGATGGTAATGAATAACTAATGTTAAAAAGAGGATTTGATATGATATAAATTCATTTTTGTTGAAAGCAAATTGAAGTCGATTCCAAAAGGAGTCGCTTTTATTTCAATTAATGCAATTTTCTTAATAGTAGCTCTAGTGTTATCAAAATATACTAATTTTGACCCTTCAGAAACATTTTTACAAGCTCCAAAATCTATCTACGAATATTTCAAACATAAAATGAAAAATATTGATCATTATTCTCTACCGCAAACTCAAACACACATAGATTCGCTCAACAAAACAAAAAATGCAACTTCAAATTTTACTACTCGAGGTATAATTCAGTGTGATCATTTTGAATCAGAAGTATCATGTGAAGAATTACAGCTAATTCAGGATTTGTATAATCAATCGTTAAATTCATCAAAATACATTTTTATTTCTCCGAAATCATCTCCAACAGCATTCGTTCAAACCTTATCATCAGTATTCATCATTTCATTGATTACGAAAAGAAAATTAGTTTTTGCAGATAAAACTAAATATCTATTCAAAACCATCTTGAAATCTAAGAGTCTTCCTAGAAATTATCAAAAATTCTCATCAAGTTCAAGTCTCAGATGTAATTTTGAAAAAATAATCAAATCAAACGAAAAGAGTATTTATCTTAAAGGGAATTTTGATCCTAATGATTTGGTTCTTGACCCTTTTATATTTTCTAGACTTCCCCCTATCATGTTAACTCATTACACGTATTTCTTATCACGAATTTTATTCAAACAGAAAAATTTGACCTTTCCAGATGATCAATATCAAATTGGAATTGCCTTACAGTTTAAACCAGATCAGCATTCATTCATGCATAATATTAAGCGATTATCAGAAGGATATTCGAATTTCTCCATCAATTTATGGAATCCAAAGAATTATCCTATTCCACCATCACTTTTACCGTTTACTCATCAATATAAGCATTTTGAAGATTGTTTCAATATATTAATTCAATCAGATGTTTTTATTGGTTCTTTGGGATATAAAGAATCGCATTTGCTAACGAAACTAAGATCTAGAGCTGGAAAATATTTCAATCCACTTGATTCTTCTATTACAGAACTTGCAAACAGTCAAAGTGGAGAAATGTTCTTAATGAAAGGATCCGCATCCAAACAAATGTGTCCAAATGGCATAGATGCTCTAAGATCCTTCCTATCTTTTAATTATTTTTAATTGATTTATATGTTTTGTTGTAAATTATATTAATAAAAATTTATCTATCGGTTTTTAATTAAATTTAATATAATGTTTTAACTAACTTGGTTATATCATTAATGTTTTTTTAGTAATTAAAATGATTTGCTCTGATTTACATATTTAATATTCTAATTTTTTATTAAATAAATTAAATATCATTTATCTTGGAACTTTAACCTTTGTTCCACCAGAACGGAAGTTTGCAACCTTAGCATTTTCCGGTCCACCTTCGACAGCAGCTTGGCCAGTCAAAATAGCATATGGAACATTCATGAATGCGATGCCAGATCGCTTCATGAGTGTAATTGTATACTTCTCGCCATAGCGATCAGCACCAGAAACAATATTAGTTGTCTTATCTCCAAACTCGCCGAGATTTACGACTTGTCTAACATCTGGATTATCAGCGCTAATAATTGCAAGAAGATCGCCCTTTAAATGTGCAACAATCCAATCATCATGGAAATCCCAAAATCCATGACGCCATTTGAGAAGGCCAATAGGTTTGGATCCAATAATAGACATGATGCACTTCTCGCCTGATACGGAAACAACGACAACACGACCATTGTCAACTTTGAAATCTGTAATTTGTGGGCAGACAGTCGAAGTTGACTTAAAGTAGTCCTTGAATTGTCCGTTTTCGAAGTAGACGAGCGTGTCGCTCTTCTGAAGTAAATATCCATTTTCAAAAGCGATAATATTTGATGCTGCGACAGGATAACTTCCAATTTCTTCGTAAGCATTCAATTTGAGTTTGCAAATGTGTAATGCTGACTTATGAAGGACAGCAAATTTGTTTGGTGTAGAAATTGAGCCAGCAAAAGCAACAACATCGCTCATGTTAGGGTAACTGAAAACAGAGCAGCAGAAAAGGTGTCCATTGTCATAAACACCAAATTTTCCTGATGCATCTTGGAATAAAATGCATGTCTCTGGATGGATACCAGCTTGAAGCTCATCTTTTTCTGGAAGAGCCTCATTTTGGATTGTGCCATCAAGGCATATGCCGCAGAAATTCTTTATTTTGGAGGAGTGGCTGTATTTGAAGTGTTGAAGACCACTCATAGCGCGATTAGCATTTTGAATACTTGTAATAACGAGTGTATTTCCGTGTGTGTAAACGAGTGCATCTTCAATACGCTTTGAAATATCTATTTCTTTATCAAAATTCATGAGGTCAGTGATTATTGGCCTCATTTTCCAGGAATTTTGATAAACGTCTTTTCGGCCATTTTGAACTATCGAGTTTCATCTCATTTTCTCGGTATTCTTATTGTTGATGAAGTCTATCAATTTCATATTTCATGAAAACAATCTGTTACATAACCACCGGAAATATTTGGAATGTAATTTATTAAGACCGAGCTGCTATTAGATGATACTTATATATAAAACACGAATGGTATTCTAATATGCTATGAAAAATTTAATCCCTCAAAGAAATATATTTAGAATTAATTAACATATACTGTAATAAGAGATTTTAAACAAGACATTAGCTTATTTGTGTCCAAAAAGTTTAATTTCACAGTACATGAGTTCATTAATATTAATATTAGATATTTTGGATATTATGTATTAAATTTGTTCATGTTAAACTAAGAATTAAATGTTTTCTGATCAGTATTAATCAAATTCATGACAATTTCTTACCAAATCAAGAAATTTTTTTGAGATATTTTTTTAATAAAAGCTCATTTCAGAAAAAAAGATATGTTAGTAAAAATTACGCTTATAATAATAATTTTATTATGCTTCCTGTATAGATTGTGGGTTGTCAACAAACTGATTGTCGCTGTTTACGAGCTCTGAATTCGAATTCAAAATGGCAGCTGTATTGTGGTTAGTAAATGCGCAGTTTCTCACTGTTGCTTTGCAAGAATCCTGCATGGCAATTCCGTAATTTCCGTTTGAATCGAAAGAAGAGAATTCAGCGAGCAAAGAACTGCCCTGGGAAAGGAATATGCCGAGCATTGAGCATCGGAATATATTAGTTTTGATGGCAGTTATGCTTGAATTTTCAATAGCCTTAATTCCAAGGACAGATTCATCTGAAATGACGCAATCTGTGAATGTAAGGCTTCCTCTTTTTGTTGCAAGTGTAGATTCGCCTGAAACGCTGGCGGTAATTTCGCATGCATTTAATTCAATACTAGAATCCATTGTTGATACGACATTGATCTGGCCACCGCGGAATGTGCACTTATCGCATTCGACTTTCGAGTATTTACTAGCAAAAAGTGAATATTTCTTGATTGATGAGAAAGATGTGTTGCTAATCTTAACATATGTGTTGTTATCTTGTACTTTAAGTCCATCGGCCAATGTATTTGAGATCGTACAGTACTCAACGTCGCCTTTTGCGCCATTTGCGAAATAAATCGCAGACATGAACGAAGAAATGTCGCAATTATTGAACGTAGCTGCTGACTGATCGACCATGAAGCCTTTTCCTTCAGGAGTCTTCCTCGATTGCGTGATATCAGGTCGAGGACTAAATAATCCGTGGCAATGAGTAAATGTAGCAGCTGCATTCGATGCAATATGAACAGCAACATCACCTCCTGCTATGAAATCGCAGTTTGTGAAAGAAGATTCTGTATTTTGATCGTAAATAGCAACAAGAGCTTCGCAAACCGCATTGAAATTGCAGTTTTCAAATGTAGTTTTCGCTGTTTTCTGTAAAAGTGTCGAAGCTTTTGTCGCATATTCAAATGTCGAATTAATAAACTGAAGATTTCCTCCAGCAAGCTGTAAATCGTTGCAATTGTGCGTAAATATGCATCCATCGAAAACACCTGTTGGAGCTCCGGCGAAATTGAGAGCGATGTTGCCAATTTGGGCGAATTTGACATTTTTGAGTTGCATTTCGCCACCTTTCATCTCAAAACCATTGTATTTGGTCTTTTCTATCTCAGAATTGAATAAATTGACCTTATTCTTGCCGATTGCTATAATTCCTGAAGCTTGGACATCATGAACCTTCAAATTCGAGCCTGTGAAGCCAAAAACGTTGTCGATTGCGATACCTGCTGCAGCAGCTGTTCCAAAGATCTCATCATGGTCTAATTCAACTGTAGATTCCTTTAAATGAACAATTTGGCCTTGAGGACTGTTTCCGTACTTGCATTGTTGAGACTTAAATGTAGACTTTACAGCGCAAATGACTGCTCCGCGATCATTATTGATAATTGTCGATTGAATTGCGATAACATTTCCTTGCTTGATTTCTAGACCGAAAGTATTGTTATCTGATACTTTAGAGTTCTTTATGATTACGAGTTCGTTCATATTAGCTTGTATACCTGTAAATTTATTGTTGGAAATGATGGAATTCAAAATAATACCTGTGGAATAGTCCTGAATAAGGATACCCATGGTTTGGTTATTCGTAACTCTCGTCTGGTTGATGAAAAGGCTTGATTGAGTCTTACACGTGATGCCGTTTTGATTTGATTTTCCAATAAAGCACCTTTCGCAGTATGCACTACTCTTTGGATCAAGTAGTAAGCATGCTAAGTTCGATCCGATTAATTTGCTGGAATAACATTCAAGAGTACCGTTGTTGTGGATGATTGGATTTAATAAAGTGGAGTTTCCTTCTAAAACGCAGTTAATAACACGTGTGTAGCCACTGTTGATGCGAATTGCACTGCCTTTATTAACACCTTTCTGATCAAAATGAATATTTTCAACAATTAAATATTTTGAGGTTGAAACTATAACGTCATCTCTTCCAGTCCCTACAAAAATAACACCTTCTGTGCCTCTTAAATGCATGGATTGTGTTATTCTAGCTTGAATAGTGTAAGTTCCTGGAGGGATATCAATAATCGTTGAATCTAATTGCTTTTTAATGAATTCATCGAGTGACATTGCACCATTATTCTCAAATACGCGATGGGTTGAGAATTCTGGTGGTTGATTCTGTTTAAATGTTATTACTTTGCCCGTCATTTTATTTTTTCTATTTTTTTTCTTTACAAAGGTAAAATGAATAAAAAAATCTTTGATTTTTTAAATGTCAGGAAATCCATGAACTTTGTTGCTCATTTCAAATCTTTCAAAATTTATAAGTTTTAAAGCTGATTAGTTCTAATTGAGAATTATTCAAAATAAATCATCGGCATTAAGGGTGCACACGAGAGGATCATGTAAACTTCAGAATTTACAACCTTATTTTTATGCATTATCTTGGCTACCTATTTCGGCTCGAAAAGCAAAAAATATCAAAAAATACAACTTAACTCCATTATGACCCTTTCATGGAGGTAGTTTTTATCCGCTAGTATTTTCCCTTTGAATCTCTTTACAATTCGAAATCAAATTCAAATCTCAGTAGAAGAAAGGAAGAATCGACTTACTACGGTTGTAATACGAATAAATACATATATTTAATTATTTTTATTTACATAATAATTGTTTGAAGCTCATATTCCATCAAATTTTTAAATAAAAACGTTAAAATGTTGAAAATGTTCATATATTTTAATAGGGTTTTGGCACTTTATTGAGGAATTACTACATACATAGTCGAACTGAACTTGATATTTTGAAATTTAAATTATTTATCAAAATTAAAATTTAACTTGAAATTTATAATTATTTAGTCATATTTTGCATAATTCTAAGTAGATTTTGTAAAAAATCATGAAAGAAAAATTTTAACGTGCTTTATTTTTTCTTTTTTATAATAATACATATTATTATATAATTAACATATTCATAATGTTTCACCCTTTCAAAAATATAATCCTCCTCCTCTCAAATAAACGTACATACGGGTGGCCTTTTTTTTTCAAAAAATTAAAATTTGAAATTTTAGGCTCAAATATTAGAGATTTTTTCAACCTTCAACGATATATGTTGTCTATATCAGACCTCCTTTCTTTTTGATACTTAACATTGTTCCTAAATCTTAGCCGTTAAGGCTGTTCTGAAAATATTTTTTTTTCGAAAAAATTCGAAAAAAATTCTTAAAATTCAAAAATCCCTTAATTCCTGAGGATTTTGGAAAAAAGTTTTTACATGAACATGTGTATATAGGGTTGTTAGATTCCCGACGATAGGTGTCTTGGAAGATTTGCCTGGTGTCATCATAGTGTCTTTAAATCAAAAATTTTATTTTGGAGTTAGTTTTATTGATTTTTCAATAAAAAACATTTCTAAAACAAGAAAATAAAACGATAAAATATTTATATTTTATATAAGGATCTTATATATTTAAAATAAATATCATTTTATTTTTTTCATTGGTGTCTGTCAAACCATAATACACTATTCAAAAATTCAATATGTCTTGCGGTTTCAAAAGACACCTTCAAATTGAACGATAGCACAGACACTATTGAATTTTACCCATTTTATTTAGTTTTTACCCTTTTTATTTTTAAGAATTAATGACTGAAACAGCCGTTTTGCTATGACCTCAATCACTTTTATTTATTATTTTAAATATTATTTAATTTTATTATTTGAATAGGCCAACTTATATTTGAGAAGCTCAATTTGAGACCACTTAATACATTGAAATATCATAAATATTGAAATATTAAAAAGTGTATTTCAAAATATTGAAATTATAAAAATTTATAATACTGAAATTGAGACAAATTAATAAATTCAATGTGTTTTTTTTTGAAATAACTCTCAAATATTATTTTTTATTTATTTAATGATGAATAAATATGATTGCTTTAGTCAATCATAAAAACTAATTTAAGTTTAAAATAATGAAAGGATAATTTGATCGTTTTTTAAAATACAATTATTTTTGATGATTTGCAAGAATCTTTGAAAAGAATATAATATAGGTTCTATTTTTGTAAAATTTATCCAAATCATCTATTACATAAATTACGATTAAAACGATGAAAGAACCAAAAAGTGTGTTTTGTGTTTTGTTGTTGCGTGTTGGATGCGGGATCCTGTTATTTCCGAAATCGACAAAAAATTTGGAAATTTAATTTCCGAAATCGAAATTATATTAATGTTTTTAATATTCTTATATCAAAAGGATTAAAGTTTATTAAGAGAAAAACAATTCTTCTTCTTCAATCTATTGGCGCATTTATTTCTACACGCCAATAAGGAAGGAAAAATTATAAGACACCATGGTGTCTTCAAAACGCTAATTTTTGATATTTTTAACAACCCTATGTGTATATTATATGAAGTATATTGATAAGGTAAAAATCAAATTTTATTGCATATTCATCGAGAAAATAAACTAACGAATCCCTCAAAATTGAGAGGGTAATCCTCCTCCTCTCAAATAAACGTACATACGGGTGCACCCTTAATCAATGAATCATTTCTTTCTCCAACTCCACAAAATCATTCCATAAGTCAATGGACTATGTACAAAGCACTTTTTCGTATGCAACATCTCCATAAAAGATCAGGTTGCCTATTTTTTTTATTTCTAATCTTATCACTATTATCATCTCTTTTAATCCTAGTATATTTAGCATTTGGTGAGCAATTTAGCAAATTTGATTTAAAATCTCGTAATTTTGATTCCAGTCAATGTTCTAAATTTTTAGATGGCCAAACACTTTATCCAGATTTAGATTTCACAAGGAAATTTCAGAAATTCAAAAATGTTATTATATACAATAAATCAGACTACAAAAAAGCAATTGACGGAGATTTAATCACAATAGATTCATTTAACAATTCAAAATTAATAGCAAGCATGTATACTACTAAAGACTCGCTTGAAAAGTCAGAACTTATTACTTGCTTTCTCAGCCATGCTAATAATTTTTTGAATAATCGTCAAGATATTATTTATATAAGATGACGACCAATATGACGATATTACTGGTTATATGGTTTCTTATCTTTTATATTTTGGTGCTCTTTCCTCGTTTATTATGAGCATTAACGAAATTTTTAAATTGCATGAGGGCAACATGTTCAATCTTCTATCTATTTCGGGTGTGAATGAAATTACCATATTGCTTTCGTATTTTACATGGGATTTTATTACTTTAATTATCAAAACAATATTAGACTCGATTTTATTATTTGTCTTACGGGTGAATGCAGATATAAATAAGAGTGCATACCCAACGCTCTTAGTTTTCGTATTTATGATGCATCTTTCCACTTATTTTTTATGTTCTTTAATAACTCTTTCAAAAACAAAATTACAAAGGAATATATTGCAATCCATTGTCTACGGAACACTAATATTACCAGTATTTAGCTTTTTTGTCGATCTGAAATTTATAGATTCTTATAAATTTTACAAAAACCATAATACATGGCTTTGCATTTTCCCTGTTTATGCCACAACTCAATTTATCAAAGAATATCTGTTCGCAACTTATTACCATATTCCATTTCATTATTCAATGGAATTTTTCTTCAGAATTCCTATTCTTAAACTCATTTCCATCATGGGAGGCTCATGTTTTGTCTTCCTGTTTGTCTACATCATTCTTTACCTTCTTCTTCCACGAAAATCCGGCTCTCCTCCTATTGGAATCCGAAATCTTTTCTCATTAACTCGGTGGAAACTTCTTTTCTCCGGTCGTCAGAAGATTTCACACGACCCCAGTGATTCCTTCATCCAAGCAGAGCACCTTACTAAGCACTTCAACAGGATCCACCGAATCTGCGCATTGGATGACGTCTCATTCAGTGTCAGCAGCGGCGAAGTTGTTGTCTTCATCGGTCCTTACTCATCAGGAAAGAGCACTCTTCTTAACATCATCTCCGGTTGCATCGACAGCGATGGCGGTTCTCTGTTCCTTCACGGCCAACGCCACACATTTGGATTCAGGGAATTGGACGTCAGCGTCGGTGTCTGCTTCCAGGATTCCGTTTTCTTCGGGAAACAGACCGTTTTCGAGAACTTGCGTCTGTTTGGAAGTATCCGCGGTGTTCCTAAGGAGGAGATCAAGTCAGAGATCGACCGTATCTGCTGCAACTTCGACCTCACAAACTACCTTTACTCTAAGGCAGACAACCTTTCCGGTGGCACAAAGAGGAAACTTTGTCTTGCGATGGCATTCATCGGAAACCCAGAAATCGTCATCCTGGACGAGCCTACAGCCGGCGTCGACGTTTCATCGAGACACACAGTGTGGAAGGCCATCTCTACATCTAACACGACTTGTCTGCTTTCTTCCCACATGATCGAAGAGGCAGAGACAATCTCAAACAGACTGATCGTTCTGAACGACGGAAAAATCATCTTCGACGGTCAGCCACTTAAACTGCGAACTCAGTACAACTGCGGTTACAGACTCACAGCGATCTTCGATGGCGAAAATGAGGACGACACAAAGATCAACAAACTGGCGGAGTTCGTCAAAGGATGGTTCCCTAACGCTTCTGTCGATGACATCCACGAAGACACAGTCCTCATTCCTGTCGACGACAAAGTTGCAGAACTTCTCTCAGTTTTGAACACTAAACTCGAGGAGTTCTCTATCAAGTCTTACAACTTGAACATGATGAACGTTGAAGATACTTTGTACAACATGTATGTAGACCAAATACAATAACTTGGTTATACTAATTTTTTTTAGTTTTTTGTTTGTTATAAAAATAATTTAAAATTAATTTAATTTTTTTTTAATATTTGTAAACTAATAAATAACTTATAATCATGAATAACTGTTAGTATCCACCTTTATATATGACTTTTAAGTCGAAATGGGATTAATCAATTCATCGGTAGATTATTTCATATTCGATTTTAATTTATGGCTATGAAATGTGCTAATAAGATAAAGGTAAATAGATATTTGATATTAATATTGGATTGTACATTAAATTATCTTATTGAGGAAAAAATTTCACATTCATAAAATAATATTTCACCCATGATTGTATTAATTGGAGCGAAATTAACAAATTTCGCGTTGAAAAAGTATGAAATCTTATACTATTGGAGACAATGAAATGTATTCACCTTTACAAATATTAAATTTCTACTATAGATATTCATTAAATTTCTATGAGAATAAATCTAACCTTGTTATGCATAGTAGAGAGAAACCTTTCATTAAAAAATAAGGAAATAATTAATTTGAACAGATAAAATAGAATAATTTATACAAAAGATAGAGTGAAATAATAAAAATAAGTTGATGAAATATTCAGAACTCATCACTGAGTGGTGAAGTCGGAAGAATTTTGACAACTTTCAAACGACTTGCAGCTCCAAGTCCAGGAACAATTGTTGAGTTCCTTCCGATATGAGTGAGAATCGGGGATGGTTTAGGGCATCCAAAAGACAAAGATCCTGTATTTTTGTTGATGACAGTATTATGATGTCTGCTTAATGCAGCTAACTGTGATCTTGGCGACTGTACTTGTCTAATATCGCCACTGCCTAAGATTTTACGAAAAGTATTGAAAGAAATATTTGGACCTAAAGCTCCATTTGAACCATTCCATGAAACGATAATACCATCGAGCCATGGATGTGTTAATATTTCTGTAGTAGTTAATCTCGTTGTCGGGTCAATTCTGAGTAATTGGTTTATCAAATCTTGCGCGAATTTGGAGACTTGCGGTGGGATATCGAATTGCGCATTTCTGATCTGATTATAAATCTGTATTTGGTTTGTGCCTTTCCATGGAAGTTCGCCAGTAACAAGAGCGAACAAAATAACGCCAAGGGACCAGAGATCTGCAAGTTTGCCGTCATACTTTTCTCCATCAATTACTTCTGGAGGTGCGTATGCTGGAGAACCACATGGTGTCATGAACATCTCGCCTTTCTCAACAAATCTTGAAAATCCAAAATCAATGATCTTAATATGACCAAATTCATCAAGCATGATGTTCTCGAGCTTCAAATCACGATGAGCAATACCTTGTGAATGAATGTAGTGGACAGTCTCTAAAATCTGTTTGAAGAGTGGTTTGGCTGCATCTTCAGTAAGTTTATTGATGCCAACTTGAGAAAGTAAGGTACCACCACTGCAATAATCCATGACAAGATAAAAATAATTTGCGTCTATGATAAAATCGTGTATTTTAATGATACCTGGATGATTCATTTTGATAATTACGTTAACTTCGCGTTCAAATCGGAGTTTTTCTTCAGGAGTACTAATCATTGATTTTGGAATAATCTTGATTGCAAGCTTTTCATGAGTATCTGTATTCATTGCCATCTTGACAAGACTGAAAGATCCCTTTCCAATTGTTTGACCAAAGTTATATTTACCAATAAAGGCAGGAAGTGCGGTCCAAGTTGACATTGATAACAGAAATTTTGATTACGAAATTTTTAATTTGAATAGGAGAAATAATTTTTCTGAAATATGAATTGAATTTTATTAGATGACAGTATACATGGAAACTTTAAATGATCGGCCAAAATGTTTTTCAGAATCTAATTCTTTGCATTCAATTTAATAAACACTTTTTACTGGGAAAGAGGTAGGGCAACGATAGGTCAAAAAGGCTTCTCTGATAGATTTCCTTGCCTTTTGGATATGCTATAATATATAGCCTAGCATGATAGGATATGATGTCAAAAGTTAGAACATAACTTAGGATCTTGAGAAAAATGAAAAACAAAAATTACATAAAAAAAGAAAAATTTTATCTAATTTGTTTTTTTGGACCGAATAAGTAATTTTATTGAATTTCAATACGACACATAGATTTTATTATTAGTAATAAATATAATGGTTTACTATTAACAAGGAACCTAAACTAATGAAAATTTGATTTCAAATATTGTATATGATTATCATAGATTACCAAAATATATTGCTATTTATGAGGATATAATATTGATTATTAGTAAATCGTATAAATTTAATAAATATACCATGAATATTGAATGAATTTCTTGATTCATAGGGGTAAAACGCGCTTTTATATGATTTAGACAGAGAATTTATGAGATGTAAATAACACAATAAAGGTTTATATTGAATATTTTCTAAAAATAAATCGAAATTATAAAAAACAATACATTTATTCATTGAAACTACTTGGACAAATATGAAACAAGCATTCAGGCAATACTTTTGAGACTTCAACGCATCTGATAATTTTTATATAACTTCACCTCTTATGCTTAGAGTGGAGGTATTGAGATCGTATAAGTATAGATGAGCTCACATTCAGATATGATGTGTGAACTTCTGTTTTCACTGCAATTTTGAATCAGAATAAACTCAAAACAAGAATAAAATGATATACTCACTCTCTAAATGTGTTCGAGATTTAAAGTTGTATGAATAAAACGATTCATCTTTCGAAGCCTCCCATTTAATGAGAGACTTCGAAAGATGAATGTATTCATGTAGATGAAATACTATATATGACCTGTGTGATACTAAAGATATCAAAATGTTCATTTTTAAGTGCAATAGAAGGGTTATCTCTCGTAAAATCTCAATTTAAGGAAGATTTAGAAAGAACTCCTTTCCTAAGTAGATAGTGTGTGGTTTCTGTCTTTTGGTTGATCAGGAACTATGAAATTAAGTCGGACAGAAAGAAGTTCTTTCCAAAACAGACTCCAAATGAGTTGTTCGAAAAGAACTTCCTTCTGTATATGGATAATTGTAGTTACCGCACTGAAGTATGTGATTGTGATGATGGAGTTCTCGATAAATCTAAAATCGGATTAAGATTAATTGAAAACTCAAGTAATTCTTTGAAATCTTGTGTTGTCTGGCACTATAATAACCAAAGAATGAGAATATTATGTTGAATGATGAGTACGTGTGCTCGGCATTCGCCGAGCGAATTGAGTTTAACGTACTATGAAAAGTGACAAATTTGGGCTTTTTTTCCTAGGGTTATGATCTCTTCCTTTCTGCTCAATACGACAGAAATGAAAGAATGAATTTGTACTCCCTAATTGATTACTACAATCTGTATCTATCTTTAACATAGAATTAGCTGCATTGTGATTTATACTCCAGAATTATTCAATTTAAGATCAACCTCGTAAATTTTAATCATATTGCACCAATACTCCTACGTTGAGATAAGAACATGATTATACATACCAAAGCCCCATATTAAAAATCAAAATTTAGCACCTCCATTATGCAACCACATTATTCGTCGCAAATAAGTATATTTACGCATATTATGATGCATATTCACACAACTCGTATACATGAAAAGTTATTAAAATCAGACAAAATTATTGCAATAAGGAAAAAAAAACAACTTTATTATATATGTTAGTAATGAATTACAAATATTTCTACAAAGAATGCTCAATACTTCATATAATCTTCGAATATTTCTTATTACAAGTTAATACATTTTGACTCGAACATGATAAACAAAAGCTGACACGCTGATTACTACATTTATGAAAATATAGTACGTTTCCATTCATCTGTTTACTTGTTTTTGTTGGAATAAAATCATTTTTTTTTCTTTCATGAAATAAGAATTTTGCTGCGAAAGCAATATCTCTAACAATAATTAATACATTACGTCAACTCTGGAATGAGTATTTATCAAATATGATATCAAAATCAAAAATTAGTTGTTTTTTATGAGTAAAAACGATGTAAATTGATTATTTGACTAATTATCAAATACTTTGATTTTCCAAATTTTTTTCGAAATTGATTTTTTCATGTGAAAATTCAAATTGTTTAATTTCATTTTTGAAATTTTGAATTTTTTTTGGAATTTTGAGTTGATCAATTCAGCAGAATTGATAATGCTATTGCTTTAGGGCATACCACAAGGTGATGAATAAAAGGTGAACATTAACAAATTATTTTAAATCACAAATATCATCCTCATCAACTTTAATTCTAAAAAGAACTGTACTGAATTATGAAAATGCATGATTTACATTATTAAAATCTTTGAATGAAAATAGTACAAGATAAGTTTTTATTCATTTTTAATTAGATTTAAACGAAAAACTACTCCATATTAAAATTTAAGTCGAGAAATCGTATTTTGTTCTTATTTGTTAGCATTTTGTAGACATTCTAATCTTGAATTAATTTGTTACATGATATTATTAACAAATTTAACTGAAAAAATATGTTAATATGGAATAAACCATGATTATATAAGCTATCAATGCTATATATACATATGTAAAAGATTCATATTAACTCAATTAACAAAAATGATAGATTTTCATAAAGGTTCAATCTAGGTTCGTCCGAAAATTTTGATTTTTATATAGAAGACATAGTTTCATATACATAATTAAATTTTCAAACAAATTTGATCATACCATTTATTAAGCAGGATAGTATATTAATTACTATCAGTATAAAAATATAAAAATGATTATATTTAATTATTGCATAATTTAGTCAAAGAGTTATAAGCCTCAAGTGATCGTTATCACCTTCAATGCACGTATACTTTATTGATTCATAGATATTTAATCTATGTTTGACATGTTGTTGTCGTCATTCGTTTTGTTCCCATTCTTCCTAAGTTAGAATTAGAGAATACACCATCCACATCATCTAATTTGGTCCTCAGCGATAGATTGGTTCATTTTGGAGGAGTCCCATCAGACAGTTTTCGAGCACCAAATATCAAATTTTAATGTATACAAATCTTTAGTGATTTATCTCTTTTATGATGAGTAAAAGGTTTCTGCTCATCAACATTTGATTTCCGACATATATGATTTCTAATTGCAATTATTTACTTTCTTTTTATAATCTAACTCTGTGACTCATACCATAAATTAATTATTGGAAAGTGTCAATATGTTTGGCACAACGCATGGCGGAAGATACCAAACCATGCAGGGAATATGATACGTTTAAGATCTCCGAACTTTTTTTCCAAAAATTTTCTATCGTTGCCCTACCTCTACTGGGAACTATGTTTGGAATACAACATCATTAACTTTTATCTGACCACTTAGAATTGAATATCTGATTGATTTTCTGGGCAATTACAATAATTTTATAAAAATATCCATATATTCGGAACATCTAGTTGGTATACATATTTCATTGAAAGCGAATTACGAAGAAATCGATTTATCAATTGATGTCTAATCTTAGATAAATGCTTTTTTAGTCAATACGGATTGCAAATAATATTAAATGCTTAATGAAATTGACAACAGCATGCAATCAATGGAAGAAAATAAAGAAAATTGATACAAATTTCAAAATTTATATGGCACGTTAAAATTACAACATAATGCAGTTATGTTTTTAAATACCTAGACTTGGATTATATGTTTAATATATCTACTACAACTTAAACCGATAATTAAATTTTTAGTTAAATATTAAAGACAATTTAATTTGAAATAGTCTAGAGTTTCTTAGTTGCATGAAACAAACATGGATGTAAAGCATACATAGAAATAAAAATCAAATTTTGCTTTGATTAAAATTATTAGCATGATATTTTTTATTTTTCGGCATAAATTATGCTTTAAGTTATATTTTTATAAAAATTCTTGTTCATCTTTCTAGCTAAGCCACTGAAATGGTATTCTGAAGTTATTTAGGTAGTTTTTTTCATATTATTCAAAATGATACATAATATAAAGTAGGTTGTAATAACAATTAGGATTAAAATTTTTTTCACAATCTCAAATCTAATGAATATAAATGAGATATGTTATTGGAGGACTTTTAAATACTGAAATCGATTGACTCGTTAATTTGATTACTGATTCAACTCTCCGATATATGAATTTTCGGATCAGATGTAATAAACAGAAATTCATCAAAAGTGACAGCTCTCAATTTTTTGACATTTGTAAATTCTAAATTGAATGAGAAAAATGAAATAATACTAAGCATAATACAATATTCTAGATTTAATTATAATTAGGAAAAAGTTAGTTTTGAGAGTACTTTTCATAGGCATATAGAATGAAATCTTCTGAAAAATAATATCACATAAACTCATATTATTTTCTAATATATAACTATTTTATATAAAAATCAAATTCAATGATCTTAAAAGCGAAGGATAAACCTCAAAATTTACGAATATAATGAGTGGGAATATAATGCTTATCTATCATAAAACCATATGAAATATCAATTTTTGCTTTACGCCTAATTTTTGACGACAATTAGCAAAAAATGTTAAATGTGAACACTCAGTCCATATTTTTCTAAAATTTTCAACCACTTTTTAAATCTTCGAAATATATATTATTGAATAATGATAATAATTTTCATCAAATTTGTTCTTATAAATTCAAATCACGATTTGACAATATTTCACCATTTAAATCAATTGTTCTATATATATTAAACATATTAACATGAATTATATTTTGACATTTTTTGATAGCAACCTCACAAAAATTACTGACATAATTCAAATCTAAAAAATAATATCTCAATTTCTAAAACCGTAATTTCTTTACTTGCTGTTTGATAAAAATATTGTGCTTTGTATTTTAAGCATTTTCACAAATTTTGCAAAAATATTTCTGCCTTCGCAATTTTCAATAATTATTCAAATCATTTCATCTAATTCTCAGTTTATAGAATGAGTCTTCGCAAAACTTTTACAAAGAAAAATGACCAGAAACTTATTGCAATAGTTAACCAGTTTGGAACATCAGATTGGAAGAAAGTTGCTGAAAAAATGCCCACCTTTACAGCAAGGCAATGCAAAGATAGATATAATATATATCTTAAAGAAGTTAATAGGCAAGAGCCTTGGACTTCAGAAGAAGATAACTTATTAATCCAGCTCCAAGCGGAATTCGGATCTCACTGGACTCATATTTCAAAATTCTTTAACGGGAGAAACATTAATAACATAAAAATAGATGGCATAGAGTCATAAAATTTAAAGTAGAAGAAGCAAAGCTCGAAAATTCAATATCGAATAATGAAAAAATAACTGCAACAAAAGCTGATGAATTACTCGATCTTAATTTCCAAGAAATAGTTAATAGCATTGATTTCCCTCAGAATGATCTTATTGAAGATATTTATTTCCTATAGTTATTGTTTCTTAAACATTAGCTTGCTTACCTGTTTTCATAAACAAATAAATAATTTCGGCTAATTGGTGTTTTTTTAATAATTTAATTTTTGAGTATGCACTATATATACTGGGCGTGAATAAATTATGTTATTTCATGAATAATATTATTTCATTTCTAGTCCAAACATTCATCTTTTTTTAGATTTAATAAATGAATTTCTTCTCCAAAAGAAAATCAAATCTTTTTAAAGCTGATTTCGGTCATTCTAGTTAATGTGGAAACGATAGGTACAAAATAATGAAGATAAAAGCTTTCTGAAGTACATGCATTAGTTGAATGGAAAGCTACAAAAATACATTTTATTTTAAGCAAACAAACAGTCTTTATTACAGAAATTAATGTAAAACTACTGTATATCGTTTAACAGAACCTAAATCTGTGTAAACGTGCATGAATTTATCTAAAGTGGATGGGAATATAAACCCATTGAACACATACCTATGAAGAGGACCTAATTGAGATCCTACCTCAGTATATTTTAGATGTATCGGTGTAACAACGCTAAAATTGAATGGAGAAGTCGAGTAAATCGATAATTTTTCTACTTTTGAAAGATCTTGAATCAATGATAATGCTTTCTCTATATCAATGTTTGATAGTTCATCTGTAATTTTATCCAATTTCGTTTGAGCAGAAGATGTTAATGCTTTAGCGCTAACTACCTTTTTCTTGAATTGAAATACTAAGTTAGGAGTTGCAACTATACTTTCTTCAGCATCCTGAACTATCCTCCTAAAATCTTCCCATGCAAGATTTTGATTCTCATTTCCCTTATAAACATAAGTTGTTGTAGATTTGTAAATAGAATCGAAGCTGACTTTCTGTGATGATGTCAATGATATTGATGAATACATATAATCTACTGGCTTTGGCCTTGATTTCTTCGGAGAAGGCGAATCTATACGTGGAGGTACATATAATGACTTCTTCGGAGATTTGGGTGTATTCAAACTTAGTAATGAGAACATGGTTGGGGAATTTTTTGCAACAGGGGAAGAAGGAGGAGTATTTGATTCAAGTCCTTGAGATCCCCAGATAGAAGCAAGGTCTGTTCCACTTCCATCTGATGGAATTGTCTTAAACCCAACACTCTTTGATCTTTCAAGCATCATGGTTATCTTTTTTTGTCTGAGAAATAATGGCTGCAAAAATCCCCGCCAATTTTTCCCCGCGAATTTCTCTCAATTTTTGGCGCGAAATTTTATTTATTTTTTAAACGTTTACATTTGCCCGCGCAGTTCCTTCCTAAAAAAAATACCGCCTCAAGAGAATACATTTCTTAACATCTTAGCATTTAATTTGTTTTTTTCTTCTATTTCATCTTTGCTTGCTCTTTTCTCCCACATCAAAACGTAACTTTTGAGAATTGATCCTAGTTCCTGCTGATATTGTCATATTTAATCTATAAGATAACAATTATTATTGGAAGGACTGCAATCTTTTGAAATATTCCAGTTTTTTTTTAATTTCGGCAACTCTCAACCATTTTGTAGTTGGCTATTATTAAAAATCAAATCCTTAATAGAGTATAGCAACAATTACATATGATAAATGCACAGTGGTCGTTCGGAACGGTAAAAATTATGGGCAAACCCAAATTTTAGCTAAAAGTGACAGGGAAAAAAACGTTTAGTATTAAAAAAAAAGACCGATGAGAGCTTCGTTCGAAATATAGAGGGAACTGAGAATGCGCAACCATTCTCAGGGAATATTGGATGCTATTCCCGTTCCCTCTGTATGGAAAATTGAGGTTTTCAAAGGGAGTTAAAATAATATCAAATTTATACTAATTTACTTCAAAATACAAAAGTATTTGACAGCTAAAATTAGTTACTTTAGCAAGCCTATCAATACCCTTTTACGATTATTGCTACTTTTTCGAAATAAAATAAATTTATTATCAAAAACCTTTTTTTCTTAGTAAAAATAAAAATGTTATTTTATATCAAGTTTTTATTCATAAATTTTTATAATGTTGTATAAATTTGAAGGTGGAAATCTGTAATAATTTTATCTTGAAAAGACTTGGCATTCTCAACAATGAATTGAGGGGTATTGCATCCAAATTCTGTAATTTGCGTGAGAATACTAAGCTTGATTTCCATTGGGATACTTAATTTCGAAAAATACTGGGTCATTCGTTTTTGAACCTTTGCTGCCTTGACAACTTTATCAAGTAGGTCATCTAAACCCAATTGAAGCGTATTTAAGTTTGCTGATGAGTTAACTATTAACGATTTAATTTTATCAGTGAGCATTATACATTTTTCTGTATCCAGTCTGATTGTAGACTTTTTTGGCTTTTTTTCAGATGGCAACGGATTTGGAATTTTGTCTCTGAGCCTTATATCTTGAGAAATTCTGTAATAAAATGAAGGAACGATAAAATCGATTAATTTCATCACAAATCGATCAAATCTCATGAAAATTGTTCCGCCAAAGTAGTAATATTTAATTTTTTTGTTAATCGATTCTGAAATGTTATTTGTGAGAGCTAAATTTTCATCTCTTTCAGCGGCTGTCCATCTTTCTTGGTTTGATATCCATTGATTTTGTATGTATTTTGAAAATTCTGGGAATTTTTCGGCTATTTCCAGAATTTTTTTGAACGTTGGTTCAATCCATTCTTTCTTGCCATTTCTGCCGTATGCAAGATAGTTCATTTTTGTATCTAATATCAATTTGTCTGAACTCTCAAATGCATAATCTTTCAAATTTTTTCTGAACGCCCTCATTACATGAACTGCACACCAATGAAGGATAACTTCTGGAAAAGAGTTGATAATCGCATTTTCGATTTCTTGTGCACAATCTGACATAAAATATTTTGGTTTTACTTTTGCCCAGTTAAAAAATGCCTTGAGACAGAATGCAATATTTTCTGAAGTGTTTGGATAAACGACAAATTGAAAAATTGGGAATGCATGTGTATTTGGAAATTTGGCTGATATCATGTAAAACAACATTTTAAATTCAAGTAATGAATGGGTTGCATCAATAAAATGCTCTTTCACAATTTTGATTATGTCCAGAAATTTGAAAGAAGCATAATAAAAGATTAATTTCTTTGGTTTGTTGTAATTATCGACATCGAAATAAATTAAATCTTTTGGTGACTCTTGTTCTTTGATACCCTTAAATAATTGAGTTGACTTGAATTGATTATCATCGTACTTTTGAATACCTTTGATCTTTTTATTTCCTTTTTCCTGAATTGTTTTCATTTGATCTGAAGATGCATTCAAAAAAGATGGCCTGTTAAGTGGATCATCCAGATCAAGTTTTTTGTCGCATTCAATTTGAGCCATTTTCGGATCACCCCCCTGTTTTATAAAATTAATAAGTACCCGACGATAGCATTGTGATAATGTGTGGTATTTCTTTGTCTCATCTTTGATTTGATTGTGATTATGTGTTCCATTATATTCTGTTAGGATATATTCTTCATCATCCTTTAGAAATGAGATACATGCTTCACATTTATCTGCCCTGCACCTGAATTTTAATTTTGTTTCCCCTAAATTTGGATTTTTTTTTTAATTGATATGGACAACCTGCATGGCATTCGTTATCAATGACAGCTTTCATAGCATCTATATAAGATAGCCTTTCTTTAAGTTCGCATGGTGCATCGATATGCATCAAAAAAATGAAATGAAATTTCAATATCAAAAAAAGCACAAAATTTGAAAAAATTCACAAATCTCGGTTTCTGAAAGAAAATGGCCTCTTAAACTTTGTGCATATATTCATCTATAAGACACATTGTATCCATATATTATTTAGCCAACACAACTTATCTGGTATCGAGAAAATTCAAAAAAAGCACAACATTTGAAAAAATTCACAAATCTCGGTTTCTGAAAGAAAATGGCCTCTTAAACTTTGTGCATATATTCATCTATAAGACACATTGTATCCATATATTATTTAGCCAACACACTCATCACATTATCTGGAAGTGAGGGTTTATTTTTTTCAAATTTACACTTCCGATTCCGGAAATGATATCAAGATCGAGTATATAAAATAAATGAAATTAAAAACTGCTTCAAAAATCAAACAATTCTGAGATTTTGAATTTTATTCCTTTAAATTTTACGTTTCTAGCAAAATTAGATAAAGGTGATGAATCTAAACTTAATTATATTGATCACCGAAGGATGCTTATCATATTCAATTAAATGATAATTAGAATGAGTTATATTAGCAATTGAGTCTATCATATTATTCTTCCAAAGTTGAAAATTTTAAAATCTAGTTATTTGCATTTTTCTTAATGAATTATTTGTGTATTTCGCAGACAAAATTCCCTTTAATCTTTAAAAGCATGTTCATATGAAAAAATAGCCGTATTTTGTGATGATGCTTCACACATTATAAACTAATTCAAGGAATGGAAGATATATGATACTGAATACAAAAAGAATCATGATTTTAAGCAATTAAAGAAAAATAATATACAGCTACATTTAAAAACAAGTATAGATACAAAACAAAAACAGAAAATTATATCAAAACAAATATAAAATATTAATTCATTTGTTGCGCTAAATTAAACATGAACCACGATGTTCCTGGTTTAAATTTCAGCATTTCCTTACCATCTGTGAGTTTAAATTCCAGATTGGATGACTCGTGTATCAATGCTCTTGAAGGATTTGGTTCTCCAGGGTCTCCTTCAGGCCAGTAGTTATCAGAGAATGGGAAGAATGATGGAATGATCTTAGGTGGCTGTCGACGCTGCCACTGATTGATCGGAGTGACAATAATTAGTACGTTATCTACTTCATCAACCATGAAGTTCACCCCAAAAAGTGACTTTCCTTGTGAAATTGAGAGAGCTCTCTGAATTAGAACTTCCTCTGACAATTTTTGAGAGAGCCATTCGGTAGCAATCTGAAAATACTCTTCTTTGTGGATTATCATGCCAAGGGATGCATTCCGTGCTTGATATATGGGGTGCGAAATGCTTCCACCAAGTTCTATCCACTCAAGAAACATCTTTAATTCTCGAGTTGTAATAATCATGTGGCTATCATGGCAGAAACGCTTGAAAACATCGAAACTTGCATGCAAAGGTATAACTCGCGGATAATCTTCGAGGTTTGAGAGAGTTGTAAACAATTGTGAAACATAATAAAGAAAAGCAAGGCATGAGTTAGGACAAACTAAGTGGAACTCTAAATCTTGACGTTTTACGGCTTCCCTAATGAGTGGAATGAGCTTGGCAAGGCCGATTGAAATTGATAACTGATTTTTCGGAAGAATCGGGCCATTGAGCTCCAAAATGTATGTAAGATAGCTATAATATGCGAAATCATGTAAGGATATTGATGGAAAATCTAATTGGTCGAAAGAAGTCGTTTGCGGAGAAATTAAAGGTCTGTAAACGAAAGAAGTGTCTCCCATAGCCTGATGTAAGTTTCTCTTGTACTCATTTCGTGTTTCCGCGAGGTTTTCTATGACTTCATTTGGTAATTGACCGCGAATATATTTCTTTGCTGCGTCATTCATTGCTGCAAGCAATTTGAGGTGATCTATCGTAAGTTCATCAGTCATTACGTTCATTTCTAGTTGAGGAGCTTGTGCTTCTATTGGAGCATTGTCTCTAGGAGGATATGCGGTTTGACCTTCGTCTCCAAGACATGCTGACTTGTAATTTGTATTACAGACGTAGTCAGTGAAGTCGTTTCTCGGTGATTTGAATGGTCTAGGGTCTGGATCAATGAGATAAGATTTACATCCGGATTTCCAGTTCTGCATCGTACGTATCGATGGATCCATTGTCTTTAATTTACTCTTGTCAACGCGATGTGTTGGTTCGTCGTCGAAAAAATATGAAAAATATGTTGATTGATCAAAATCTTCTTGTTCATAAACGAAATGGCCTTGTTCGAATGACGAATTTCGCCTTAACTTGGACTTGTCAATATAACCAACGCCTGACAGTTCATAGAGTACCTTATTTTTCTGTTTTTGGAAAGAATTAAAATTTATTAATGAACAAACTGCGTCATCTGCTGAATCATTGCTATTTATATTGAGTGTAGGTTCCGATGTGATTGGTGAAGTCTTTGGAATATCTTTCTGAATTTGAGGATTTGAGATTTTATTTGGTTTTGGAGGAATAATTGGATTTTGAATCTGAACTAGAGGAGCACCTGGCATTTGGACTGGTGTAGGCACTGCAGTTTGCTGATTACCAAGCATTTGTCTGAGTAATAATTCTTTTTTATCAGGATTTAGATTTATCGAACTGATATATCGCATCACTTGTAGTATTTGCGGATTAAACTGAGCCCCTAATGGTTTTTGTGGTGGCTCAGGTCCGGGTAATCCAGACATTAAAATTCACAAAAGATGACGTGATGTCACTTTTTTGATGTTAAAAATGTAAAAGTACTCCTTGATGAAATTTATGATAATCAGATCAAAATTTCGCAATTTCATAGGCAGCACACTAAAGAAAACTTTGCATTCATTTATTTAGTGCATGAAAAATCAGAAATTACAACATGATACCCAGTGAAGAGGTGTTTTTCCTTGATTCTATCTTGAATTTCCCAATGGATTAAAATCTTCTGATAAAACGCTGAGAATATTCACACATACAAGATATAATTATATGTTTAGCTATCATTTTTCTGCATTTTCATTCCTATCACATAGATTAGCATTTGATTATAAATTAAAATCAAAAGCAACTCTATAATATGGAATGAATAAGATCACTTGTTAGTTCTAATACTATTTTAGATGTTCGCTAACTATCTTTGAAAATTAAATTTGATGAAAATATGGGCTAGATTTTGTTCAATTGTTTGTTTTTTTAATTTTTTACCAAAATATTTTTTTATGTTATAAAGTTTTTTACCATGATCATGTTATAAGACCAATATGAGAATAATTCACCTCCAAAATCTTTGATTTTAACAAAATAATTTTTTTCATAATATTTTATTTTTAACTTTGATAACAATTGGTTATTCAATATTTTTTCAACTTAATTGATTACTGAACAATTAAGTAATTTGAAGATATTTAACTGAATAATGAAAATTATTCTAATAAATAAGAAAACTAATAGTCAATACATACGTATGGTTGCATTTTACAACTCATTGGTTGCTAACAAATCTTAATATCAGTTAACATGATTCAAATTTGATCAAAGGTTGTAAGAGGGAGACTCCAAACTTGCTCGATCAAGATTCCTCCAGGGTTTCCAAAAATTTTTAATGTTAAGAGTTTTGCAAACTTTATTTGATCTTATATATTTTTCATTTTATTGAAATATTTGATAAAATCATAAAGTAGATAGCACATTGTGATGACCCAATGGTTATGTGTTATCCAAGCGTTTGTGTGATATTCAATAAAAAAATTTAATAAAAGAAAGCATATACAGACTTGGTATTGTTGATAGAATTTAGAGTAATCTCTTCCAGTTTGGCCAAACTGATATATTTAAGATATCATGAGAATTAACAATAAAAAATTTTTGAAATTTTAAAAATTATAATGCCAAAATGATATATTTCTTAGGCCAAAGAGAAAAAAAGATGGATTAATTAACAGACACAGAGTGAATCGCACATGATTAAGTTTTTATGAATAATATAAGAATAAAAAACAAAAATTAAGCTGCAAGAGGTAACAAATCTGCATTTGGAATTGGAGTGATTTCCTCTTCCTGGTGTAAATGTGGCTTATCTGGTGTTGGAGTTGTGATAGCCCACTTTGGTAAAGCGAATCTAACATGTTTGCCATGTGTAAATGATATAATTTGGTAATCTCCGTCTTGTGGAACACTTAGAACTGCTCCATCGTTAAATTCATCGCAATAATTCGAACTGCTGAAGATTGTAAGAAGACTGTGGCTTCCAACAGCTGATCCCTCGTATGGCCAGTTGAATCCTTTGTTGCAGGATTCGTGAGAACGAACAAGAAGTTCAAGATTGTTGTCTTCTAAGAATTTAACGAGTGGTTTAGCTCCAAAGAGAGCTCCAACGCCACGGTCGCTAGGTTGGAATGTATCTACTTCGTCAATTGGATCGGACCAGAGCATATCTGCGATGATTCCTGTTAATGGAATATCGTTTGGCTTCTTTTGAGCAGCAATCTGTTCGACCTTATGAAGGTCCTTCGATATTCCGCCATGAACGCAGAAAACGCGGTTATCTATAACAGCTGCTATTGGTAAGTGTTTGAAACAGTCCAAGAACTTGAAATACATCTGCTTGTTAAGTCTCTTTCTGACTTCTTCTCTGAAACCGTAGATTCCTGTCATTGAATTTGATTCATGATTTCCACGAAGGAGATAAATGTTATTTGGATGGCGAATCTTAAGGGAAATAAGAAGTAAGAAAACTTCTAATGAGTTTTCTCCTCTATCTACGTAGTCACCGAGGAAAATATAATTCGTTTCTGATGGATAACCACAACGCGTAAAGATTCTGAGGAGATCATCGATATTTCCGTGAAGGTCACCAACTATTATGATATTGGCTGGAAGCTTCAAGAGAATTGGGTCGTTCTTAAGGACTTCTGATCCTTGGAATAAAATGTCTGTTATTTCTTGTGCATCAAAGTGCAATTGCTGTTTCTTATCCTTCTTGCCTGCGCCGAATCTACTTTTAATTATTCTTGTAATGAAAGCATCGTTGATGGACATAGCAGAAAAAATAATAAAAAAAAATAGGACCATAGATCGCTCTCTCAATTTAGGATTATCCCCAAAATCAAAGTTGATTTCCTGTTAAAAATATTGGTATTTATGTGTATATTATTTCCTATGTATGAAATCCTATCAAAATGTTGATTCAAAAATTTTGCGTCTAATTAGTTCAACCAAACCTTCTCAATTTTTATAAATCTTGAGTTATTTGATTGTTTAATGTATTTGGGGTATAAATAATGAAAAATTCGTTAAGAAAACGGTATCTCCATTCAAATTTTTCAATGTGATTTTTTATTTTACTCAAATTTGTTATAAAATCATAAGTTAATGACGTTATTAAGTCAGTAATAATTTACTCACTAAAAATTGATATAGAGTTCATATTTCTATCAGACTTTTCTCAATAACTTTTTCACTTTTATTCATTGGAGAAAGATTTTTATCCAAATAAAACAATTTTAATATCGTATTTGTCGTATGTTAAGGAAGTGCAAGTGAAACTTAATGTAATTACAGCTAAATATTCTATTTTTCGGATAAAATTATTGGAAAATTCACCGTAATTATAATTTATAAGAGTTTTAAGTTATTAAATAGCAATAAAAATTAACAATTAATATCAATAGATATTTATTTTCAATAATTAACGAAATAAATTTATTCATTATAGAGAGCAATTAACTTTTGCTCGTATTTCGCCTTCAATGCAGCGTATTGAGGCTTCATTGATGGTGTGAGTAGGCCATTTTCAATTGTTGGCTCTTCGAGGTCGATCAAAACTCGTTGGATTCTTTCGAAACCTCTAAGGTGGTATTTGTCCTTAACATCTTCGAGTGCCTTGATGAGCTCATCCTTGCATTCCTTGCTGTTGACAACATCGTTGATTCCTTTGGCCTTCCATTCATCTACGACTTCCTTCTTTGGAACACAAAGAGCAACTGGGAAATCGTGTTGTGGATCGGCGTAGACGAAAACGAATAATGTCTTTTCGCAGAAAGCGTAAATTTCGTTGAGAGATGTCAAAGAAATGTATTCGCCCTGGCAAAGCTTGACGAGATTCTTGATTCTGTCGATAATTGTCATGTGCATGTCGTCGTTAAGAGTGGCAACATCGCCTGTCATGAACCAGCCATCTTCATCGAAGGCTTCCTTTGTAAGATCTGGACGCTTGTAGTAGCCCTTGAAGATATTTGGACCGCGAACAAGAATTTCGCCGGTTGGATTCTTGCCTTTGGCGTCGTAATTTGTTCCTGGAACCGCATTGAGTTTGATTTCACAGGCCAAACCACATGCGCCAACGGACTTTGTGTCCCAGAGAGGAACTTCCTGGACAAGAACCCCAGCAGCTGTTTCTGTAAGACCATATCCTTGGATGATATTCGGTGTAAGAGCGGCAGCGCAGAATCTGGCTACGTTATCCATGATTGGGGCACCGCCATTGACAACAAGACGTAGCTTGCCACCAAGAGCTTGTCTGAAATTATCGAAAATAAGACGGTCGAGAATCCAAGATGTTGGTTTTCCATTGAGGATCTGGTTAGCCTTGTAATCGATTGCTTTGTTGATGATGTATTGGAGCCACTTTGGCTTCTTTTCAATTTGGGATTTCATTCCCTCTGAAATTCTGTTGAGTAAACGTGGAACAACGATCATGGCTGTTGGCTTAAGCATCTGGATATCTTCTACGAGATACTTAACAACACCTCTTGTATAGCCAATATGAGCACCATGAGCAAAACCGATCAATTCGCAAACAACGGCGTAAATGTGGGCGAGAGGAAGGAAGGAGAGGTAGCAGTCGTCAGGAGTAACACCAACACCAAGCTGAACGAATGAAGCAGCGCCAGCAATGATGTTCTTCTGTGTAAGTGGGCAACCCTTTGGGGTTCCTGTTGAACCACTTGTGTACATGATGATGGCATCGTCATCTGGGAGTGAGAATTCGTTCTTTTGTGTAGAATTGCGACCCATTTCCAAAACATGCTGGCAGGAGTCAAATTCGACATTTGGAAGTGACTGCCCTGGAACCTTGTCGGACATCTGAACGATCTTCTTGACGATTCCTGTTTTGTGGGAAATTTCAATGGATTGTGGAAGTTTATATTCAGATGTAAAAATAACTGAGCAGCCAGCATCCTCAATAATGAACTCGGCTGCTGTAGGACCTAATGAATCGTAAATTGGAACAATGCAAATACCAACAGATCCGGCACCAAAATTAATTGTTTCCCACCAGATGGAATTGGATGAATAAATACCAATGTGGTCACCTCTCTTGAGGCCCATCTCTAATAAACCGCGGCCAAAAGCGAGAACTTGTTGATAAAAATCGCGATATGGGAGCCATTTGTATTCACCCATTGTGCCGTCTGGATTTTTAGCACGTTCACCAACAGCAGGCTCATCTGGCCATTTTCCAGCTGATGTTTTGATCAGATCGGGCATTGTTTCGACATGTGGACAACATCTGAAAGTTGAAATAAATTCACCGCCATTTTCAAAGAAGCAGTGATTATTTCTGTATATTGGAGAGTATCCCTCTGTTGCTGTGCCTGGTAATTCTTGGCAAAGAGATCTCACAGGAACGTGATTAGGTGAAAAGATGGTGGTCTTCATTTTATTTTTGGTTGAAAACAATATACTTTTACGAAAGAGAAAAGATGTTGTTGATTCTATTATTAGTGTTCTTTTTATTTCTTCTTAAAAATCTTAATTCTCACAAAAAAAAGTACAGAAAAAATTGTGATGGCATTCTTCAGATCATAAATTAGGCATAATCATGAGACAAAACAACTTAAATTCAAATGCTCTTTATGAATTTAATTCTGCATTTAAAATATTATAGACCGAAAATAGATTTTTTCGGTTTTCTCTTCAAATAATTGAAAGAATGATACTATTATAGGTTTATTATATTATATAGCATATAATCATGCTATAGCCGAAAATTATAAGTTTTGAGAAGATTGAATATAACACAAATAAATTTGAATGTAAGTTAAATTGCTTGTTGTTTTTAATAGCTATTTAATGAGAAATCCAATATTGCAAAATTCAAATTGAATGATTGAAAGAACAGAAAAAGTCATTCTTTTCAATTTCGAATATGTTTCATTGTATTTATAATTAGATGGCAAATAAGATATTTAAACTTAATTTGTGAAGGAAAATTCACAAAATTGAATAAATTCAAATAATTTTTATTCAAAAATAAACTAGTTATTTGAGTTTAATACTAATTATCTATTCAAAATACAAAGTTTGTAATTTAAAATATTTTGTGAGATCAGATTGAATTAATTCAAGGTTCTTTTCAATTAATATTAATGACCATATTACGCATTTTCGAACATTCTAAACCAAATATATAAAAATGGGAGACCAATGTTAAATTTGCTAGACATGGGGGAGTTGTCTGCAAAGTTTTAGCTCTTATCTCTAACAAAAAATTAATTTTTAAAAAAATGACCGAATACGTTTCACAGCGAGAAAAAAATAAAAGGCAAGATAGAATTTTCTAGACATAAAGAAGTTGTTTACCGAGTTTTAGCTCTTATCTCTAACAAAAAATTACCGAATACGTTTCACAGCGAGAAAAAAATAAAAGGCAAGATAGAATTTTCTAGACATAAAGAAGTTGTTTACCGAGTTTTAGCTCTTATCTCTAACAAAAAATTAATTTTTAAAAAAATGACCGAATACGTTTCACAGCGAGAAAAAAATAAAAGGCAAGATAGAATTTTCTAGACATAAAGAAGTTGTTTACCGAGTTTTAGCTCTTATCTCTAACAAAAAATTAATTTTTAAAAAAAATGACCGAATACGTTTCACAGCGAGAAAAAAATAAAAGGCAAGATAGAATTTTCTAGACATAAAGAAGTTGTTTACCGAGTTTTAGCTCTTATCTCTAACAAAAAATTAATTTTTAAAAAATGACCGAATACGTTTCACAGCGAGAAAAAAATAAAAGGCAAGATAGAATTTTCTAGACATAAAGAAGTTGTTTACCGAGTTTTAGCTCTTATCTCTAACAAAAAATTAATTTTTAAAAAAATGACCGAATACGTTTCACAGCGAGAAAAAAATAAAAGGCAAGATAGAATTTTCTAGACATAAAGAAGTTGTTTACCGAGTTTTAGCTCTTATCTCTAACAAAAATTAATTTTTAAAAAAATGACCGAATACGTTTCACAGCGAGAAAAAAATAAAAGGCAAGATAGAATTTCTAGACATAAAGAAGTTGTTTACCGAGTTTTAGCTCTTATCTCTAACAAAAAATTAATTTTTAAAAAAATGACCGAATACGTTTCACAGCGAGAAAAAAATAAAAGGCAAGATAGAATTTTCTAGACATAAAGAAGTTGTTTACCGAGTTTTAGCTCTTATCTCTAACAAAAAATTAATTTTTAAAAAAATGACCGAATACGTTTCACAGCGAAAAAAAATAAAAGGCAAGATAGAATTTTCTAGACATAAAGAAGTTGTTTACCGAGTTTTAGCTCTTATCTCTAACAAAAAATTAATTTTTAAAAAAATGACCGAATACGTTTCACAGCGAGAAAAAAATAAAAGGCAAGATAGAATTTTCTAGACATAAAGAAGTTGTTTACCGAGTTTTAGCTCTTATCTCTAACAAAAAATTAATTTTAAAAAAATGACCGAATACGTTTCACAGCGAGAAAAAAATAAAAGGCAAGATAGAATTTTCTAGACATAAAGAAGTTGTTTACCGAGTTTTAGCTCTTATCTCTAACAAAAAAATTAATTTTTAAAAAAATGACCGAATACGTTTCACAGCGAGAAAAAAATAAAAGGCAAGATAGAATTTTCTAGACATAAAGAAGTTGTTTACCGAGTTTTAGCTCTTATCTCTAACAAAAAATTAATTTTTAAAAAAATGACCGAATACGTTTCACAGCGAGAAAAAAATAAAAGGCAAGATAGAATTTTCTAGACATAAAGAAGTTGTTTACCGAGTTTTAGCTCTTATCTCTAACAAAAAATTAATTTTTAAAAAAATGACCGAATACGTTTCACAGCGAGAAAAAAATAAAAGGCAAGATAGAATTTTCTAGACATAAAGAAGTTGTTTACCGAGTTTTAGCTCTTATCTCTAACAAAAAATTAATTTTTAAAAAAATGACCGAATACGTTTCACAGCGAGAAAAAAAATAAAAGGCAAGATAGAATTTTCTAGACATAAAGAAGTTGTTTTACCGAGTTTTAGCTCTTATCTCTAACAAAAAATTAATTTTTAAAAAAATGACCGAATACGTTTCACAGCGAGAAAAAAATAAAAGGCAAGATAGAATTTTCTAGACATAAAGAAGTTGTTTACCGAGTTTTAGCTCTTATCTCTAACAAAAAATTAATTTTTAAAAAAATGACCGAATACGTTTCACAGCGAGAAAAAAATAAAAGGCAAGATAGAATTTTCTAGACATAAAGAAGTTGTTTACCGAGTTTTAGCTCTTATCTCTAACAAAAAATTAATTTTTAGAAAAATGACCGAATACGTTTCACAGCGAGAAAAAAATAAAAGGCAAGATAGAATTTTCTAGACATAAAGAAGTTGTTTACCGAGTTTTAGCTCTTATCTCTAACAAAAAATTAATTTTTAGAAAAATGACCGAATACGTTTCACAGCGAGAAAAAAATAAAAGGCAAGATAGAATTTTCTAGACATAAAGAAGTTGTTTACCGAGTTTTAGCTCTTATCTCTAACAAAAAATTAATTTTTAAAAAAATGACCGAATACGTTTCACAGCGAGAAAAAAATAAAAGGCAAGATAGAATTTTCTAGACATAAAGAAGTTGTCTACCAAGTGTCAGCTGTTACTTCTTCTCAATACTGATATAAAATAAAAATCTTTTTTATTTATTTAACCTTTATTGTTTCATTAAACTTCATTTATTTTAAAAAAAAAAAAAAAAAAAAAAAAAAAGGCAGTGGGGCTTCCAGGCACTTCGTGCCCTCTAGCCCCGAAGATGTTTAGTATAAATGAAGTTTTTATTCGGAAAATTGTTAGTCTTCTGGGTCGAAAACATTATATAATGTTTCACTTTTCACAAATTATATATGTTTTCATGTTTTGTCACTTTTCTGTCACTTTTCGGGTAAAAACATTTTTATTATTATATATAAATGAATTTTACAAAACCACCGTTACCGTTCTTTGGAAATAAGAGTAGATGTAAAGATATTATATTGAGAGAACTTAAGAAACTACCGAATGGTCTAACATTTGTAGATTTGTTCGGTGGAAGTTTCTATATATCCCATTTGTGCCATACAATATTCCCAGACTCAAAGATTATATGCAATGACTTCGACAACTATATGGACCGTCTCAAACATATTCCAGACACAAACAATATATTGAAAGAGTTAAAAGAAAAGATACCTATAGGTAAGATGGAACGTATACCATTAGATAAGAAAAATATTGTGAGAGAGGTTTTGAAAAAAGCAGAATATATAGACTGGGATAGTATATCTGCTAGACTATTATATAGTGGTGCTATAAGAGTTCATGACATTGAAACACTTATGTCAAAAGTTTTATATCTTAACTATACAAATGTTTTCAAAGAGGACATAGAAAAATATATTGAGGGTATAGAGTTTGTGAGATGTCGTTGGACAGAGTTGTATGAAAAATATAAAGACAAGGAAAATATTTTCTTTATAGTGGACCCGCCGTTCTTTAACACATGGGATTTTCAATACCAAGTAGACTGGACTTTGAGAGACTCTTTAGAAACTTTAGACGTTTTACATAACCATCCATGCTTTTACTTTACATCCGATAAAAGTGGTTTGGAAAGTGTCATGAGATGGTTAGAGGACATACATGACTATGAGTTTAGATACGATAAGATAGAATATGAGAGAGGTCCTATAAACTGGAGAAAGTGTCACAATAAAGAAATTTTATTAGTAAGTAAATGTGGTTTGAAATCGGATTGTTAGTTTTAGGTTTTTTCCATTGTGTCATTTATTTATTTGACGTGGCAGAAAAGTACAGAGAATATGAAGATGAACCAATGCCTGCAAATGTTCAGTATATGTACTCGTAAGAGATATTTTTATCTAATATTAAATGGACGCACAGAACTTAGCGAATGCACAGCAACCTGGACAACCAAACCCAGAGAATATTCCAAATGAAGTTAGAATACAAACTGCAATGGCAAACTATGGTCAAGTGCCAACAGATGTACAAATGCAAACTGCCATGTCAAATGACGCTGCGTTAGGTTGCCACCATGGTATGCAAATATGAGATGGAAAGAGTTTTATACAAACCCTGAAGTGGGATATAAACAACTTTATGCAGATGACGCGAACACAGGAGTTGACCCAGAATATGTTTTCTACCAGAGGAGAAACAGAATGTATGAGCTCCAGTTAAAGAATGCTATGGAACTCAACAGGAAACGTAAGAGACTAGGCGGACATTAGATTTTTACATATAGTAAAATGGGTTTCTTCAGTAAGATAGGAAACTTCTTTCGAAATGTTGGAAGAGGTATATGGAATGGAATAAAAACCGTAGGAAGAGGAATTTGGAACGGTGTCAAAAATATTGGTAAAAGAGTAGGTCAGTTCGTTG